TCCCCATCCCTTCCTCCCCATCCCTTCCTCCCCATCCCTTCCTCCCCATCCCTTCCTCCCCTTCCCATCCCTTCCCCCCCATCCCTTCCCCCCCTCCCCACCCCTTCCTCCCCACCCCTTCCTCCCCATCCCTTCCTCCCCTTCCCATCCCTTCCCCCCCATCCCTTCCTCCCCTCCCCACCCCTTCCTCCCGACCCCTTCGTCCCCACCCCTTCCTCCCCATCCCTTCCTTCCCCCACTCTCTGCGCAGGTCTGACGTTTGGGTGGATGACGCCTCTCATGGCCACGGGGTACCGCCGGCCGATAGAGGACAGCGACGTGTGGCGGCTGAACGATGGCGACCGCACTGCCACGGTGTATGGCAGGTGAGTGGGCGTGCATGTGCATGAGTCCATCCATGGGTTCTATGGGTCTGTTCTGACATGGTGGCATGTTCCTCCATACCCTCTTGAGTCGACTCAAAAGTCAAAAGTCACTTCTTTTGAGTCGACTCAAAAATGACATGGTGGCATGTTCCTCCATACCCTCTCACGATCTTCTTGACTCTGCTCTCCGCTGGTCTGGTCTCCTCTGGTCTCTCCCCCCTCTCTTCTCCGTGCAGGTTTGAGCGCGCATGGAGGGAGGAGAAGGGGCGCCCCAAGCCGTGGCTGCTGCGCGCCCTGCACTCCTGCTTTGGTCGCCGGTGAGTGAGGGGAAGACGTGGGAGGGAGGGAGGATTGGGAAGGGTGGGATGGAGTGGTGGGAGTGATGGGGAGGTGGGAGGTATGAGAGGAGAGGGGCAGGAGGAGTGTGCGAGGAGAGACCGAGGGAGGGAAGAGGGGAGTGGGGGGGATGTGGGCGGATGAAGTGAGGAACAGGCGGACGGTGGGCCTTAGTGAGTCCATTTTCAGCACGTATGGCCACTGCTTTTGAGGCGCCTGTTAGGTAGGTCACTGTTGCCAGTGCAGAGGGTAGCATGGCAATCATAGCACACTCGACAGACACGGATGGGCAGGGGCATGATACTAAACATTCTATTCACTTCCCCCTGTTCTTCCCTCCCCCTTTTCCTCAACCCAAACCCCCACCTCCTCCGCATCATCTCTCAGTTCTTGTGGCCGCTTACGCATGCACCGCACGCTCACGCACGCACGTTGCATATCGTCAAGTTTCGAGACCTCTCAGTTTTTGCGGCCGCTGTGACACGCACCACATGCATAACATTTCACAGCCTGTTCCCACGCTCCCTCCTCGTCTGCCTTTCCATCCCTGTTACGTCTTCCCCCCATCCTTCCCCACCTTAACAGGTTCTGGTGGGGTGGTTTCTGCAAGGTATGTTCCCCTCTTCCTACTTGATTGCAAGTTCATAAGACTTTTAAAACCTGCATGAAGAGTTGCGTGTTTTATTCAGACCAGTGTCGTCACCTGTCAGGACAATTTATTCACTGTCAGACCAGTCAAGGAAACCCTCCTTCCTGACTCAGTTTGTGGGCCCGCTGATGCTCAGTCTGAGGGGGGCGCTGATTTGATGCATCCCTCCCTCTCTGCTCGGCCTATCCATCCCCATCCCCACCCTCCCATCACCACCCAACCACCTTATCAGATCGGCAACGACGCGTCTCAGTTTGTGGGGCCGCTGATGCTCAGCCGCCTGCTGTCAGCCATGCAGTCAGACGAGCCTGCATGGCACGGCTACATCTACGCCACCATCATCTTCCTGGGCCTGGTATGTTGCTTGCGCCCACACCATCCTCGTCCTGGGACTGGTACTGTCATCTTCCCACTGTCATCCTCCTCTTATGGCTGCCATTGTCACCTTCCTAGCTTTCAGGGTCAGGTTTCAGGGTTCAGCAGTAAGGCAGGGTCATGCAGCCGTGCGCTCCCCGTGATGACTTTTGAGACAACTCAAAAGTCACTTCAGGGTTCAGCAGTCAGGCAGGCAGGGTTATGCAGCCGTGCACGCCCCATGGTAATGTATGTATTTCGTCCGCATGGCATGGCTGCATGGACGGATGTTATGAAGGCTCCACCTTTGAGTTGACTCAAAAGTCACCTCGCGCCACGTGATCATGTATGTATGAATCTCGTCCGCATGGCATGGCTGCACTGACGGACATTGTGAAGGCTCCACCTCGTTCTGTTTCTGTTTTGACGCGGCTTAGGCCTTTTGAGTCAACTCGACGTGACTATTTGAGGTGACTTTTGAGTCGACTCAGAAGTCTGCATGGACGGATATTGTGAAGGCTCCACCTTGTGCTGTTTCTGTTTTGAGGCGGCTTAGGCCTTCATCCTTGGGCTCTCATAATGAGCCTTCATGCACCCTGGCATGGCTCAACACCTCAGCACCGCACACCACTCCTCCGCTCACCTGCCTCCCTCGGCACATGGTGGGCGGGGTGATGTGTGAGGCGCATTACTTCTAGAGAGTCATGCACTCGCACTTAAGAGGCTTCTGTGATCACATTATCCAAATTAACCCGCTAGCACCGCACACCACCCCTCCCTGCCTTGCGTTCCATCATCCCACCAGGTGGGCGGGGTCATCTGTGAGGCGCAGTACTTCCAGAATGTCATGCGCGTTGGCTTCCAGCTGCGACAGGCCATGGTACGTACATTGGAAGTGTGCTGGTACATGGGAGCGTTAGCTGTGGTGTGCTGTTCATTGTGCTGTGCACTGTGGGTAGCAGGCGATGGTGGGCGAGTGGTTTGGTAACATGCTGTGCATTGTGCCGTGCATTGTGGGTGGTGTGACATGGCATGTTGGTAGGCGATGGTGGGCGAGTGGTTCCGTAACATGCTGTGCAGCTGTGCCGTGCACTGTAGCATGGTGTGAGTGGGTCGGCAACATTATTGGAAGAAGCAAGAAGTGACACAGCCCTTCCTTTATCGTCACGCTTTCCCTTTCTCTGCCACTGTTGGGTCCAGGTGGCAGCGGTGTTCAGCAAGTCCCTTCGGCTGTGGTAAGCAGTGCTAAGCAGTACTAAGCAGTGTCCCCTTTTCTCCGCCATCCTCTTTTCTGTGCCGTGACCTGTCCCATGCGCAGGTGGCAGCGGTGTTCAGCAAGTCGCTGCGGCTGAGTCACAGTGGGAGGCAGGACAACATTGACATTGTCGTTCCTCTTTCTCAATCCTGTGTTTTCCGTGTGCAGGTAGCAGCGGTGTTCAGCAAGTCGCTGCGGCTGAGTCACAGTGGGAGGCAGGACAACATTGACATTGTCGTTCCTCTTTCTCAATCCTGTGTTTTCCGTGTGCAGGTAGCAGCGGTGTTCAGCAAGTCGCTGCGGCTGAGTCACAGTGGGAGGCAGGGCTTCAGCACGGGGCGAATCACCAACATGATGACCAACGACGCTGAGTCGCTGCAGATGGTACGGTGCAGTGCGGTGCTGTGTGGGGTGGGGTGGGGTGGGGTGGGGTGGTGTGGTGTGGGGTTTGGTGGGTTGGTGTGGTGTGGGGTGGGGTGGAGAGGTGTTCAGCAAGTCACTACGGCAGGCAGGGCTTCAGCACGGGGCGCATCACCAACATGATGACCAATGACGCTGAGTCGCTGCTGATGGTACGGTTCAATGCGATGCGGTGCGGTGTGGTGTGGTGAGTCCCTGCAGATGGTACGTCAGTCCCTCCCTCTCCACATCCTAGCCTGTGTCTTCCTGCTCTACCAGCAGCTGGGGATGGCCTCACTGCTCTTCAACCCTCGCTTTGACTCGCTCCCTTCCCTTTCCCTCCCCCCTCTCCCCCCTCCCAGGTGTGTCAGCAGCTGCACGGCCTCTGGTCGTCCTCCCCTCTCCACATCTCTCATTGACTCTCTTTGTCCTCCACCCCTCTCCTTGTCTCCCTCTATCCCATCCCCTCTCCCAGGTGTGTCAGCAGCTGCACGGCCTCTGGTCCGCCCCTCTCCGCATCCTCGTCTGCATCTTCCTGCTCTACCAGCAGCTGGGGGTGGCCTCACTCCTTGGCTTACTCATGCTGCTGCTCATGATCCCCGCCCAGGTGAGTGAAACCTGGTGACGAGTCGCTTGCTTCCAACGGTTTAGTGTCGTATACTCTCTGTTATGGCTGGTCCCTTTGTGCATGCTCTCCGCCTGCAAGGGAATGGCCTGTGCGTCTCTTGGGTATGGTTCTCTTCCCTTCTCCCTACACATCCCCCCCTCCTCCAAACCAGGCAGTGATAGTGAACGGGGTACAGAAGCTGGTGAAGGCCTTTCTGCAGCGAAGCGACAAGTGTTTCCTCCCTCCTCTCTCCCCTGATACCACTGCTTCCCTGCTCCACATCTCCTCCACCACCCACCCACCAGGCAGTGATAGTGAATCAAGTGCAGAAGCTGGTCAAGGCCTCACTGCAGCGCAGCGACAAGCGAGTGGCGCTGATGAGCGAGGTGCTCGCAGCCATGGACGTCGTCAAGCCGTACCCTTCTCATCTCTCAGCTCCTCACTCCCTGCCTCTCTCCCATCTCCCCTTCTCCCCTCCTCTTTCCTCCCCTCCCTTCCTCTCTCTCGGCCCTTCTTCCCCCACAACCTCCCCTTCCCCCCTTTTCAAAATCACACCAGGCGGTGATAGTGAACAGGGTGCAGAAGCTGGTCAAAGCCTCACTGCAGCGCAGCGACAAGCGAGTGGCGCTGATGAGCGAGGTGCTGGCAGCCATGGACGTCGTGAAATCATACACGTGGGAGGAGAGCTTCCAGAGCAAGGTGGCGCGGGTCAGGGCGGACGAGATGGGGCAGATCTCCAAGTCCCAGTACATCATGGCGGTGGGTTGAGTGCGGTATGACGAGGTGGAGAGAGGATGAATGAGGTAGTGGTGGTAATGCTGCACATGTGGGAGGGGAGGAGAGCTTCCAGAGCAAGGTGGCGCGGGTCCGGCCAGACGAGATGAGGCAAATCTCCAAGTCGCAATACATCATGGCAGTGGGTCCTGTGCTGCAGCTATGACCCGCCTTTATGTTTCTTTGTGTATATTGTGACAAAATTTCGAAGAGTTCACCTGTGAGCGGCTCTTGGGTAGAAAAACTAATGGACTTCACTCATGGTCAAGCCCCACCCCACCCTTCTTTTCCCTTCCCGCTCGCCTTTCCTTCCCCTCCACTCTCTTTCCCCCCTCCAACCCCCCCTTTCCCCAAACCCCGCTCCTTCCGCAGATCAACTTCTTGCTGATGAGTGTAGTGCCGGTGCTGGTGACGGTGGTGTCATTCGGCTGCTACTCACTGCTGGGCCACCAGCTCACAGCCGCCAAGGCCTTCACCTCCATCTCCCTCTTTGCTGTGCTGCGCTTCCCGCTCTACATGTTCCCCAACCTCATCACTCAGGTCAGTGTTTTGCTTCAAATCGCTGTTATTGAGTAGCCTTATTTTTCCCTACCCTCTTCGGGTTAAGTAAGGGACTAATACTTAGTACCAATCGTAAAGATAAGTATAGAATTTACATGTAGTACCAGTTGTGTAACTAAGTAAGAAAATCTTACAGAGTATCAACCATAAAGCTAAGTATCGCACAAGCTTACTACCATGTATACATCTTAATAACGCACTAACATCTAACATCAATTATAAGCGTAAGTGTGTTATTTAGCCAGGAGGAAGGGGTAGGGGAGTGAGATTGGAATTGGGTGTACATGAAGAGGGGTGGATAACGGTGGTATTCTCGATGCACGTACATGAGACTAGGAACTTTAGTGCACGTGGAAGACGGCACGGTTTGTGTTACTTCGTGAACTACATCATGGCTGGGAAAGTCGGAGTTTGGACGTGTGGTTTTGGGGCTTGAATTCCGAAAACCCCACATGTCTGTTACTCTTGCACAATATGAGGCGGTGGTCAAGTTGGGTAGTAATTTTGCTAAGAAGTGGAAAGATTTGGTGAATCCCATGTATTACTTCTTTCCAGTTTGTCTTAACAGGTTGACTACCCAGCTTGATTGCCGCCTCAAATTGCGCATTTGTTATGAACATGTGGGTTTTTGGAGTTCAAGTCTCAAAAACACACGTTCAAACTCCAACGCCCTCCCAGCCATGTGGTAATCCACAAAATAACCCAACTTTTGTCGTTTTCTACGTGGATCAATGATTGTTATCCTATGTTGGGTAGTATGTGCATCCGACAATACCACCGTTATCTCCCATCTTATGTGGTTCCATTCCCCCTCTCACTCCCCTAGCCCTTCTTTATGGCTAAATAACGCACTTTCATTCATGCACTTCAACTTGTTATCAAAAAAGGAGATGCAACCTCTCTTTTACTCTCCCCCATCTTGCATGCGCCTAAAATGTGAATTCTCGAATTTTGATTTATGCGCTTTGTCAAAATAGCTTCTCACACAGTAAAGGTACCCGTCTTAAAAGGTACACACCTTTCAAGTTATGCATGCAAGCTTCTCTCTTGCCTTAGCCCTTCCTCCTTCCGCCCTCGTGCTTACCCCAACATGCATGTGGCTTTGGGGGTGGGGGATGTAGGTTCTTCTGCTCGATCATGGAGGTGTCTGGAGATCTTTACTTCTTCTTATCCCCCGTTACCAGGTGGTGAACGTGAATGTGTCTCTCACGCGCCTGCAGGAGATGCTACTGGCAGATGAGACGAACATTGATGCCCCTGCCGCTCTGCTCCCTATCGTTCATCTCTTCACTCCTGCCTTGTTCTCTGCAACACTCCTCTCCACCACCCCACCACACCAGGTGGTGAACGTGAACGTGTCACTCACGCGCCTGCAGGAGATGCTACTGGCAGATGAGACAGACATTGACGCCCCTGCGCCGCCCATCGACCCCACCAAGCCTGCAGTTGAAGTCTCCCATGCCTCCTTCGCCTGGGGCGCTGCCCCCACTGCTGCTGCTAACGGTGCTGGTGGGGGAGGAGGAGGGGCAGGAGGAGATGGGGGAGCAGGAGCGGGAGAAGGCAAGGAGAAGGGTGGAATTGTGGGGGAGGGGAAGGACGTGGGGGGCACACTAACGGATGTGACTCTATCGGTGGAGCCTGGCAAGCTGGTGGCAGTTGTGGGTGCCACAGGTACGGCATGCAGGGTGAACAAGGCTAGTAAGGAGGGTTCAGGACGAATCGGGGCATGTCGGGGAGGGTTGGGGCAGGTCAGGGTGGCAGGGTGGGTCAAGTCGTCACTGGTCAGGGCGCTGCTTGACGAGATGGCATGTCAGGATTGAAAAGGCCTTTTCATCAACCCACATCTTGCTGACCACATCCCTTCACTATGCTTCCCTCTCCCATCCGACCCCTCCCCATCAGGGCAAGGCAAGTCGTCGCTGGTCAGTGCACTGCTGGGCGAGATGCCCATGGTGTCGGGGGACTCTCCTCCAATCATCAGAGGCCGCGTGGCCTATGTCTCGCAGGTAAGTACTCCTCTAAGGAGAATTTTGTATTGCGTCTGGTGCTCCAATCATGCATTCAATTACTCATCAAAGCTGCTGTTTGTTTTTTTGTAATATATATTTATATTCATATGTAGTATTTGTATGCAATATATCTACTTGCTGTAATCTCTTTCATCCGCCCAGTTCTTGAGCCACCTCATGCTTTCCATGTTATATCTGCCCTCCGCGTGTTCCTCTCCTCCTATCACACGCTGCCACGTGGCACACGTGGCCCGCGCAGGTCTCCTGGATTTTCAACGCCACAGTGCGCGACAACATTCTGTTTGGGCTGCCCTACGACAAGCAGCGGTACGAGCGGGCAGTGAGGGTGAGCGCCCTGGAGAGGGACCTGCAGCTGCTGCCAGGAGGGGACCTGACGGAGATAGGCGAGAGGGGCGTGAACGTGAGTGGCGGGCAGAAGCAGCGCATCAGCATCGCCCGGGCGGTCTATTCGGATGCCGATGTGTTCTTCTTTGATGATCCTCTCTCCGCCCTCGACGCCCACGTCGCCAAGCAGGTGGGTTATTCGGTGGCCCACTCTCTGCTCTCCACGCCCACGCTACGAAGCAAATACGCACCTTTTTTTCTTTGCTTCTTTTTTCGTATGAGATTGTGTTTTGCATCTGTCTGTATTGCTGCATTTTCACTGTCTCCATCCATGCAAGTGTGCATGTATCTGTATGCATATGCATGAGTGCATGTTGGCATGTGTGCATGCACACAGGTGTACGACACGTGTGTGAGGACGGAGCTTGCCGGCCGCACGCGCATCATGGTCACAAACCAGCTGCACTTCCTGCCAGGTAACTCCTCCTTCACTGATTTCCTTCATAACTGTCTAAGAACGTTGTAGAGTGACAAGTATGGTGGCTCACCCCCCCACTGTGTCTACAATCAGCATTAAAATAAGGCCAGCACGCGCATCATGGTCACGAACCAGCTGCAATTCCTGCCAGGTAACCCCTCCTTCAGTGAGGGCCGCCAATGAACTGATAATTTTGTAGTGTGAATTGTATGAGACACTGTGCGTATGACGTTCACTATATTATCATTTAGACGATTTTTGAGGCGCCTTAAAAGGAAACTATATTATCACTTCATGTATAACGGGAGCAAGGCCCACACCACGACCTCATATCCTCTCTACCTCCTCCCTGCTCTCCTGCCCCCTCAGCGGTGGACTGGGTGGTGATGGTGGAGGGGGGGCGCATAGCAGAGCAGGGACTATATGCGCAGCTAACGATCTAAAACCCTTTTCACCCATCATCCCCTCTTCCATTTCAGCGGTGGACTGGGTGGTGATGGTGGAGGGGGGGCGCATAGCAGAGCAGGGGCCGTATGTGCAGCTGAAGGCGTCGGCACCCAAGTTCCAGCGGCTGCTGGAGAAGGCAGGCGCGCTGGAGGAGCACGGGGATGGGGAGGTGGGGGGGGAGGGCGGAGACAAAGCAGGGGCCGCGGGCAGTGGTGAGGGTGAGACGAGCGCTGAAGCGGCAGCTGCTGCTGCAACAGCCGGCAGCAGCAGTAGTGGTGGTGGCAGTGACTCTGCTGCAGCAGCGAACGGTGATTCTAGCAGCAACAACCGGGTTGGGGAGAAGAGCGGAGCAGGGAAGGGGGAGAAAAGCGGGGCAGGGGGGACGACTCTAGTGCAGACGGAAGATAAGGCGCAGGGTGTGGTGAGCGCGGCGGTGGTGTGGCGGTATGTGAGAGCCATGGGGGGGACGGGCGTGCTGGCTGTGCTCATCTCGCTCTACGTGCTTGTGGAGGCAGCCAGGGTGCTGGCGAGTGTGTGGATCAGCATTTGGACGGGCGAAAGCGGTGGCAGTGGTGCGCATGGGTCGCTGTACTTCGTGGCGGGGTATTCACTCATCTCGCTGGGCCAAGTGCTGCTCACCTTCGCCAACCAATACTTCCTCGTGAGTGGGGGGCATTGGCTTGCTTTACAGCCTCTTGGTATGTGAGGGGCCATGGGCGAGTGGGGCATCCTGGCATGGCAGGATCATTTCGCTGGGCCAAGTGCTGCTCACCTTCGCCAATCAATACTTCCTCGTGAGTTCACACTGCTTATTCATTGATTGGTTGGTTGGTACTAGCAATGAGTTAGCCGGGAAAGAAGTGTCACCTGCTGGTTTCCAGCCTTGCTTATACTGAATTCTGATATTTGTGGCAGGAAAGCTGTTGACGACCTTTATGACTTATGTTCTGAAAAAAAACACTATCTTTGATACTGCTTCATCAGTCTGTGTTAGTGTGTGCCTTTTTTTTCCCTTTTCTTTTCCTCTCTCTCTCTCTCTCATTCCTCGACATGCTTCTTCCTTCTTTCTCCTCTCCTCTCGCACCTGGCAGGTGTTTTCCTCCCAGAGAGCGGCTCGTCGTCTGCACGATGCCATGCTGGCGGCCATTCTCCGCGCCCCCATGTCCTTCTTTCACACCAACCCCGTGAGTTATTCCTCTGATATTGCACATCTGCTCTACCACCAACGCAAGCTGCAACTCCAGTTTTTTAGTCGACTAAAAAATAGCCATTCTACGCGCCCCCATGTCCTTCTATCACACCAACCCCGTGAGTTGTTACTCTGATATTGCACTTCTGCTCCAGCACCAAGGCTAGCAGTAGCACCAGCAACGGCAACAACCCCAGCACCAGCAGCAACCCCAGCAGCCCCAGAAGCAACACCAGCACCATCAACAGCACATGCACCAGCCCCAGCAGCAGGACCAGGCCCGACACCAGCTCCAGCACCAACGCCAGCAACAACAACAGCGTGGTGTTGTTGCTGGCGCTGGTGCTGGAGCTGGTGTCGGGCCTGGTCCTGCTGCTGGGGCTGGTGCAGGTGCTGGGGCTGTTGCAGGTGCTGGTGTTACTGCTAGCCTTAGTGCTAGCATTTCTCTTTTCCCTCTTCTGCCCCTCTCCCAGCAATTTGTGCCATGCGGATTGGTTGGTCCCCTTGATAAACTGAGCTGCTAAGAGCATAGGTGATGGCGGTGGTGGTTCTGCTGCTGAAGAGAATGGCATTATGGCACAAGCATTACACTTCGTTTTGCCTGAACTGTGTATTCGCTTCGCCCCTCCCCTCTACCCTCCACCCCACCTCCTCGGTGTGGAATTATACAGCGGACATAGGCACGAATCCTGCACAGTACACGTCTCTCTCTGCCTGAACAGCATATTCCCCTCCCCCACACCCAACCCCCCTACTTCGCCACTCTCCCCACGCCAGGTGGGTCGTCTGATCAACCGTTTCACCAAGGATATCGCGGACATAGACAAGAACCTCGCGCAGTACACGTCACTGAGATTGCATGGCATGTTGTTCCCCTCTCCTAACTCCGCACCCCCTTTTCTCCCACCTCTCCCCACTCCAGGTGGGTCGTCTCATAAACTATTTCACCAAAAACACGGCGGACATAAACAAGACTCTCGCGCAGTGCACGTCACTTTCACTCTGAACGGCACATCCCCTTCTCTCCCCCCATTTTCCCCCTTCCCTTGCAGGTGGGTCGTCTGATCAACCGCTTCACCAAGGACACGGCGGACATAGACAAGAATCTGGCGCAGTACACGTCGCTGTGCCTGGGCGGCATATTCCAGCTGCTCTCCACCTTCGCCCTCATCGGCGTTCTCAACACCGTCGCCCTCTGGGCCATCGTGCCGCTGCTGCTGCTCTTCTACATCGTCTACCTTTACTTCCAAAACACCGCACGGGAGGTCAAGCGCTGGGACTCGGTGACGCGCTCCCCAGTCTACTCCCAGGTACGCTCAGAGGAAATTGGCAACACATCCTCATTTATCCCCAGGTACAGGATTTAGGGTGTCGCTGTCTAGGTTCGACTCAACTCGAGCCATACGTATGGATCATCGTGCCGCCGCCGCTGCTCTTGTACGTGGTCTATTGTTGTGCAGCTGACCCTCCATCGTCGTTTTCAAAAACCCGACTTGGACGGTCCTCACCCGCTCTCAGTTTGCGGAGGACTCTCTATGAAAGCTTAAAATTGAACCAATGACTTGATTAGAAGAGGAAGAAGCATGCATAGGTTGGATGAGAAGCTTGAAGGGGAAAGATTGGGTTGAACTTAGGGCGTGTTACAATTTTATTTTAACCGTTTTGTCCAGACGATGGTCCGCGGACCGTACTAAGTACACGTACGGACGGGTTCGGGCGTTGCGCCCGGACGGAGGCTAGTCCGGGCGGGGTTCTGGATATAGTGTTTTAGTGTAACACTGAGTACTGGTTACTGAGGTTCGCTTAGTGGAAAAATGCATCGCGCGACTTCGGATTGGGTAAATGTTTTCTCGTTAACAGATCTCGTTGGCCAATCAATTGATGGTTTGGTTGCACTGTCCGGCAGACCGACGGGAGTCGTTCGGACGGTTATGTACGCGGAAAATTTTAAAATGTTTCATCTGTGGTACGTACAGCTGCGATGTCGCATAGTTGCAGGCGAAAACTTTCGCATTACATGATGAAAACGGTTACCCTACAAATGTCCGGACTACCCACGGTACGGACCATGAAAGTGTAAAAATGTAACACGCCTTTAGGTTGGGTTGGCCTCATTTTGGGAAGTGAGGCTGTCGACGTAAAATGGCCCCGCCCTCGCTTGGGCGAAGCAGACTTCGCAGTCGGGGGCGCGCAGAAGACGACCTCGACCAGTCCGCAGAAGTCGTCGGCAGAAGACGGGCTCGTATAGGACGGGTCGAGGGGTTCGTATAGGAGCTCCTCTACAAGGCCGGTATAGGAGCTCCTCGACGAGGCCGGTTGAGGGCTCGTCTAGGCGAAAGCGGCTCGGCGGAGCATTCGTCGAGCCGCATTACGAAGTCGCGCGACTGCGAAATTCGTCATGTGGGCGAATGTCGCCCAAGAGGCTTTCGCGAAGTCAACCTGCGGAGTTATCACGTGCTCGACGGGGCATCGCTGGCGAAACCGTCGGCACGTGCTCTACCTGGCGCCTGCGCAATGTGCCTGGCGGCGCGTCCGTCCACCTGCACCTACTTGGTAGGCGCGCACATGCGCAGAAGTTCACCTGCCTCTGCGGCGCTGGCAGACCGCTGCTATACCGCGCTGGCAGACCGCAGCTATACCGCGCTGGCAGACTACTCTGCTGCAGCGTTGGCAAGCCGCCCTTCTGCTGCGCTGGCATAGTTCGCTTTGCAGAAGGCTTGCTAGGTGTTGCAATGCCATTCTAGCTATATCGACTTGCATGCCTCATTGTAATCTAATGTTCTTTCAATTTCTTAGTGGAATTCTTGCCATATCTCTCTACAACACAGCAAGTAGTGAGAACGCCTAGTGCAACGCTACGATCACCCACACAACCCCGTGCCTTCCTCCGTAGTATACTCCCGTTGTGTAGTGACTCTCCGCATGGTGCGGTGAGCGTGGAACGGCCCCGCAACTTGCCTTCAGATAGTAGCCGACGTTTACACCTTACCTAAGTCGTTGTAGGCCGGCAGCTGTCTAAACCGCCATGGACGACCAGGAAGTCGTAGCAGGCGTAGAGGATACCCTGCAGGCGCGGTTAGATGATGTTCGGGCACTCCACGCGGCTGGCGAGTACAACGGAGCGAACTTGGACGTTCTGCTCTTTGGAACCCGCGTGCAGTGGGCGCGCGATCACCCAACGATCCGTACTGAGGCGGATGGACTGCCCGCCACTCCCCGACCGGCACGCAACGAAGGCAACGTCGACGAGAGGGTCGACGGCGGTGACCAAGTCGGCCGTGATGAGGGCATGAGGAGGATGAGTGGAGTGATCAGGGCCACCGACGACGGGGTCGACGGAATTCATGCGCGAGTGCAGCTGTCGACGGCGGCTGCGGGCAGCTCGCATGGCGACGTCGACGGACGACGACGCTCCCCGCAGAGGAGCAGAGTGAGGCAGAGCTCCTCTACGCACGTGACGGCTGGTGGAATTGCGCCCGCCTACGGCTATTTCAAGTTTTCGCCGGACAAGATCGCGGTGCCTATACCGTTGGAAGGTCGACGAGACCTCATCACGTGGAGGGAGTCGATCAAGCCCCAGCTGGAAATTGCCGGGCTGAAGTGTTTCGCCGACGGCGAAGTGGTGACGCCGGAAGAGGACGACATCGAATTGCGGGCAGAATTCCGCGCGGCTCATCTACTGACTTTCATGGTCATCTCGCGCTGCTGTTCGCCGATGGTGCAGATCGCTCTGAAGCCGTGTCGGCTTCGACTAGACGCCGGCCACCAGGCGTGGCGGTTCATCTTGTCTACGTACCAGGCGACTGACGACCTATACATCGGCCAGCTGGAGGAGCGCTTGACTCACCTCAGGATGGGCGAGCAGGAGTCGGCGACGGACTACTGCAACCGCGCTCGACGGATCCTCGCCGACATGCGGATGGCGGGCGTCGACTATTCGACGGCGTCCTACATCACGCACGTCGTCAAGAGACTGCCGAACGGGTATAATCTGATGCGGCGGATGATGGCGATGCCCGGCGTGCGCGAGACGCTCAACGAGGACACTCTCACGAGCCACATCATCAAGGATGAGGCTATGCAGGAGGCGGAGCGGCCCACGGAGCTCCTTCCGCAAGTGAACTACGTCGCCCCGGCGAAGCAGAATCGTCAGCAAGGGCAGCGCGGGAAGCCGAGCGGAGGTGGTAGCGGAGGTGGGAAATCGGCGAAGAACGCCGAGCGGCCGAAGTCGGCTCGGGACAACGGTCGAGGCGGAGGCGGTGGACGGCGGGAATGCTGGCTGTGCGGCGACCCCGACCACCTCTCTTTCGAGTGCCCCGACCGCGACGAGAGCGACGACGACGACAAGGGAGGCCGCGGAAAGTCCGACGGTGGTCGTCGACGCCGAGACAACAAGCCGCGCAAGGAGAACCCGTCGTCGAAATCGACGCCGTCGACGAAGGATGCTGACTCCTCTACCGACAAAGGTCGAGGCGACGGGGAGGCGTCGTGCTCGGCGGTCGGAGTCGTAGAGTCGACCGTCTCTCTGGCGCCGGAGGCCGGGGAGGATTTCAAAGCAGTCGCGGCAGCGGTGCAGGCGAACCCTACGGTGGTGCTCCTCGACAGCGGTTGTTCCCACCATCTGATGGGAACGAAGGAGGCGTTCGTCAAGCTGAAGCCTGGAGGCGACGTCAAGCATGTGCGCGGCTTCAACGGGGCATTGCAGAACGTCGAAGGCCGTGGCACCGTCGCTCTGCGAGGGGAGGTTGGGAAGCAGGTTCTCGTTCCCGACGTGCTCTACGTTCCAGGCGTGCATGCTAACCTGTTGTCGGCCGGCCAGCTGCTGGAAAATGTTGTGAAGATGCAGTACGTCGGCGACGACGTGCTGCTCGTCTCGGCGGCCGGGGACGTGCTTGGCCGGGCGAAGTATACCGGCCGGATTCTCTGCACCGACCTTCGCCCTTGCTCAACGGAGTCAATGTCGGCCTCGGCAAAAGTGGTGGCTCTGCGGACGATCACCTCTGCGACGAAGACTACGCCGGACATGTGGCACGCAAGGCTAGTGCACGTCGGCGTCGACACGATCAAGAGCTCGGCGAAGCACGAAGTCGCCGTCGGTCTAGACATCAAGCAGTCGACCGCGACGGATCTGCCGTGTGCTTCCTGCGTCGGAGGCAAGCTGGCGCGGCATACCTTCCCCGACCAAGGATCGGACGCCAAGAATGCGCTCGACGTGATCCACATTGACCTCTGCGGGCCGTTTCGAGTGGCCGCCACTGATGGCAGCCTCTACTTTCTGCTGCTGAAGAACAGGAATACTCGCTACGTGTGGGTTCGGCCGATCGCGAAGAAGAGCGATGCGCTTGTCGTCTTCGAAAAGTGGCTGAAACTGGTAGAGCGGCAGACGCCGAAGACGGTGAAGATGCTGCGTTCCGACCGCGGAGAGGAGTTCCTCGGTCGAGCCTTCACCGCCCTCGTCGAAGACAAGGGCATCCTTCACAATTTGACATGCCCCTATACCCCGCAGCAGAACGGGATGGCAGAGCGGGAGATGCGTACGGTCGTAGAGACCGTGCGGACGATGCTGCTGCACATGGGCGTGCAGCACCACTGGTGGCATCTTGCTCTGCGGCAGGCCGTCTGGGTGCGCAACTGCCTCGAACGGGCTTCTCTACCGTCGGGGACGACGCCGCACGAGCTGCTGTTTGGGGAGAAACCGGACCTGACGCTGGCGCGCGTGTGGGGCTGCATGGTGTAGTTTATGGTCCCCGAGCAACAGCGCGGCGAGAAGCTGGCGCCGAAAGCCCGGTGGGGCCTTCATCTCGGCGTGTCGCCGGCGAGCAAGGGCTGGGAGGTGCTCGACCTCACCGACAACAAGGTGGTGACGACTGTAGAGGCGATCTTCTACGAAGCGATGTCGTTGGAGGCGTGGAAGGCCGAGCACGGTCCCGTTTCGACGCGGCACTCTGCTGTCGCGCCGAAGGGTCCCTCGTCGACGACGACCCCTTTGCTTGCCGTCGACGATGACGACGTCGAGGACGTCCCTCCTCCCTCTGCGCCCCCTTCTTCCTCCCCTCTACCCCTTGTTGCTGATCTACTGCAGATGGCGTCGCCGTCGGCCATCGGCGATGAGGGGAGAATTGCTGCGTCGCCTTCGGCGCCGACCAGTGGCATCGCTGGCGGCCGACGTGACGAAATGCATCTCTGCGGCCAAGTGCAGAAGTCGCCGTCGACAGGGGAGCGAGCGGAGTCGGCAGAAGAGCTGATGGTAGAGGAGAAGTCGGCGGAGCCGGTAGAGGCATCGGCAGAGGAGTCGGCAGAGGCGAAGTCGGCAGAGGAGCCGGCTGCAGAGGACCAGCTCGACGATGGCGCGTCGAGCGATGTCGTAGAAGTCATCGATGGCGAGGAAGGGGAGCTATCGGCAGGGGAGCAGTCCGACGACAGCGGCGTGGTGGAGGTTCCGGCAGGGGAGCTGCGGCGCTCTACCCGCTCCAACTTCGGCAAGCCTGCAGAGAAGTTGAGCTACCACGCATGTCTACCACCGACTCCCTATAGCACGCTCCTCGATGACGCGGACGCCGACATCGACCTGCCCGAGCTCGACCCCGATATGCACGCCGACCCGGAGCATCGCTGGGACATTGCGAACATGACGGTGAAGGAGGCGTTGGCGAGCTGGAAGGGGAAGGCGGTGAAGGCCGCCATGGACGAGGAGATCAAGAGCCTTATCGCAAATGGGACGTGGGAGTTGGTCGAGCGTCCACGCGGTCTCAACGTCATGAAGAATCGCTGGGTGCTCATGACGAAATACCACGTCGACGATACGGTCGCCCGCGAGAAGGCCCGTCTAGTTGTGAAAGGCTTCACGCAGGTATACGGCGTCGATTACGATGAGACGTATGCGCCGGTGGGAAGCTATGTAACTCTGCGGATTTTCCTCAGCATCGTAGCCGTCCTCGACCAACACCTGATGCAGCTGGACATGAAAAACGCGTTTCTGCAGAGTAAGCTGGATCGCGTCCTCTACATGTACCAGCCGGACTACTACAACGACGGGACCGGCCGGGTGTGCAAGCTGCTGAAGAGCCTATACGGGCTGAAGCAGAGTCCGCTGCTGTGGTACTCTGCGCTCGACGCGGTGCTGACTGGCGCGGATTGGCAGAAGAGCCAGGTCGACGAGGCTCTCTACTTCAAGGCCGGCGATGGCGGAGTGATGTGCTGGGTGCTCGTCTACGTCGACGACCTCCTCGCTGCCAGCAGCAGCCTCGCTGCAATGCTGAAGGAGCTGAAGGAGCTGCTAGAGGCCGCCTTCGAGCTGCGCGAGATCAAGCCGGTCGAGAAGTGCCTCGGGTTGGAAATCGTGCGCGACTGACCTGCGCGGAAGCTGTGGCTTCACCAGCAAGTCTACGTCGACAAGCTGCGTCGGCGTTTCATCGACGAGGAGCAGACTGGGCGAGTGCCGAAGACGCCGGTCTCCGTCGACGCCTACGCAGAGCTGACTTTCGACGACGAGGACGCGCAGTCCCGCGAAGAGGAGGAGTACCAGCAGAAGGTCGGCTCGCTGCAGTTTGCGGCGACGACGACGAGGCCGGACATTGCCTTCAAGTGTAGCAAGCTGGGGAGCGGCCTGACAGTGCGGAGCGACAACCACTGGCGCGAGGTCGACCGTTTTCTGCACTACCTCGTCGATACCCGCGACGCCGCTCTGGAGTTCGGCGGCGGACCAGAGTCGCTGGTTCTGGTCGGCTATGCAGATGCCGACGACGCTAGTGACAAGCAAAATCGGACGAGCACGGGCGACTATGTGTTCGTCTTCGGAGGAGCCGCAGTTTCGTGGTCGAGCCAGCGCATCAAGTGCGCAACGCTTTCGTCGACCGAATCAGAGTACGTCGCGGCCACCGAAGCCGGCAAGGAGGCTCGCCGCCTGCGCTTCCTCCTTGCAGAATTCCGCCTGCTCGACGCAAGGAAGCCGACCGTTCTACACGTGGATAACCAGTCGGCGATCACGGTCGCAGAGGGCTTGGGGCTCAAGGGCAACCTCAAGCACATGGAGCGACGCTATGCCTGGCTGCAGCACATGGTGAAGCGCGGGAAAATTGCTCTGCAGTACATCCCGACCTCCGAGCAGCCGGCGGATTTTCTGACGAAGGCGCTGCATTTTCCGGCTTTCAACCGGTGCTCCGTCGCAATCGGCCAAATGCGTCTAGCCGACGTCGGCGACGGTGATGATGATATGCAGCAGTAGGCGCCGTGCCCTTCTGCACGGCTAGTGCGGTGATCTGCGTGCTATGTGTTGGGTGCACGCAGCCAGAATTTCTCCTTGTATTCTATCCCTTGGGTTCTGGGTAGACCTAGTGTGTGGGGTGCCCAAGCGTGAGCGCGGCAGGGGAGTGTCGACGTGCTCTCGCTTGGGCGAAGCAGACTTCGCAGTCGGGGGCGCGCAGAAGACGACCTCGACCAGTCCGCAGAAGTCGTCGGCAGAAGACGGGCTCGTATAGGACGGGTCGAGGGGTTCGTATAGGAGCTCCTCTACAAGGCCGGTATAGGAGCTCCTCGACGAGGCCGGTTGAGGGCTCGTCTAGGCGAAAGCGGCTCGGCGGAGCATTCGTCGAGCCGCTTTACGAAGTCGCGCGACTGCGAAATTCGTCATGTGGGCGAATGTCGCCCAAGAGGCTCGTGAAGTCAACCTGCGGAACGGCATCACGTGCTCGACGGGGCATCGCTGGCGAAACCGTCGGCACGTGCTCTACCTGGCGCCTGCGCAATGTGCCTGGCGGCGCGTCCGTCCACCTGCACCTACTTGGTAGGCGCGCACATGCGCAGAAGTTCACCTGCCTCTACGGCGCTGGCAGACCGCTTTTATACCGCGCTGGCAGACCGCAGCTATACCGCGCTGGCAGACTACTCTGCTGCAGCGTTGGCAAGCCGCCCTTCTGCTGCGCTGGCATAGTTCGCTTTGCAGAAGGCTTGCTAGGTGTTGCAATGCCATTCTAGCTATATCGACTTGCATGCCTCATTGTAATCTAATGTTCTTTCAATTTCTTAGTGGAATTCTTGCCATATCTCTCTACGAACACAGCAAGTAGTGAGAACGCCTAGTGCAACGCTACGATCACCCACACAACCCTGTGTCTTCCTCCGTAGTATACTCCCGTTGTGTAGTGACTCTCCGCAGAGGCAACCTAAGGCCAAGTGGGTTGCATTTGGGGGCTGTGCACCAATTGGGTTGGATTGGCACCCCACAATGCAAGACTACACCCAAAGTTGGGTGTAGTCCCAATCCAACTGTACACCATAATTGGTGTACAATCACAAGTCTTAGCATGCTAGAAGATATATTTCTAACACTCTCAGTTCGTGGAGGCACTTAATGGGCTGGTGACGATAAGGGCGTACAAGGCAGTATGACGCATGGCGTGGCGGGGATGAACGACCATGCGGTGGGCCGCAACACGCTTCACCCTCATCAGCATGAGCGTCAGCCTACCCACACACACACACTCACACCTCTCCCTCAATCTTCATCCCCCAACCAACCAAACCCCTCCTTTTTCTAGCCCCCCCTCTCCCTTAACTTGGTTTTCCCCATACCACCACCAGCTTGTGGAGGCACTGAACGGTCTGGCAACAATCAGGGCGTACAGGGCAGCGGCGCGCATGGCGGCTATGAACGGGCGGGCGGAGGATTGCAACACACGCTTCACCCTCGTCAGCATGAGCGCCAATTGCCATACACATACACGCTCACCTCTTTGTCTAACTCAACCCCCAACTCCCCGCTCTTTCTGGCCCTCCCGCCCCACATCCCCCCCACCCTCTTTGGACTCCCTCTCCTGCCTTCAGTTTGCAGAAGCATTGAACGGCCTAGCAACGATCAGGGCATATAGGGCAGCACAGCGTATGGCGGCCATGAATGGGCGGGCGGTGGATCGCAACACACGCTTCACCCTCGTCAGCATGAGCGCCAACCGCTGGCTCGCCATCCGCCTCGAATTCCTCGGGGGACTCATGATCTTTGGTGCGTGACTTTCTTTTTAAGACCCCTCTGGTTGTTGGATAATGCTGTCAGTGGACCTGCACTGTGGATCCCCGATTGATTTTAAGAGGGTTACTGCGTTCTCCCGGAAGGTTCTGGGCACACGGACCCGTTATAGAAACAAACCCGTTTATCCCAGTGGTCTAGTCTAGTGGCTGGGATTCTGACGAATGCTTCATTGCTTTTCTTGGCTTAGCAACCTCATGCTCCTCTATCCACCATGATCGCCAACCGCTGGCTCGCCATCCGCCCTGATTTTTTCGGGGGACTAATGATTCTGGGCCCGTTCCGCACCGCTTGACTTACACCTCATTTCGTCTCCTTCACCGCTTTCTTCAAATGAACATCGTGACCTTCCTTTCAGTTTCTTTACAGTTAGATTGGATCTCCTACATGACATCCTAGTCTTACAGTTAGCTTAGATTAGATCGGATGGCTCATAGTCTTACATGACGTCCTACTTTGCTCCTCGATTCATCGCTTCATGCCTCTTTCTATCCCATTGTGCTCAACCCCACCACATTTCGCTGTTTCCCATCACCAGCCACGGCCGTATTCGCAGTGATGGACGTGCAGCGGGCGGGCGACCAGGCAGCACTGGCGCCGGTGACGGGGGCTTATTGATCACTTTGCACTCCGTCCAATCCCATTGTACCGAACCCCACTGCCAGCCACGGCCGTATTCGCAGTGATGGACGTGCAGAGGGCGGGCGACCAGGCAGCACTGGCGCCAGTCATGGGGCTCATTCTGTCGTATGCGCTGCAAATCACAGCCATGATGACCATGGTGCTCAGACTGCTCTCCGTTGCTGGTAAGCTTTTGCCATCTGCCGCTAAGTAGGCACTCATCTCATTTCTGAAAAGCCACACACCTCATTTCTAAAAAGGCACTCATCTCATTTTGAAAAAGGCTCGCCATCCGCCTCGAATTCCCCAGTGCCCTTTTATAATCGGGGGGCCCTCGAACCCAGTTTACCCCAACCTCCCCCTCGTCTCCGCTCCCATCTTTTATCGATTTGTTCTTTCCCGTCAGAGAACTCGTTCAACGCGGTGGAGAGGGTGGGCAGTTACGCCGACATCCCCCCCGAAGCGCCATCCATCATTCCGAGCCACCGCCCCCCGCCCGGGTGGCCGCAGAAGGGGGAGGTGTTATTTGAGGACGTGGTGATGCGGTACAGGCCGGACCTGCCGCCCGTGCTCAGGGGGCTCTCTGCGCTGGTGCACGGGGGAGAGAAGGTTGGCGTGGTGGGGCGCACTGGCGCAGGTGAGAGAACTGGTTTTTGAGGGCAGTGCCTGCTTTTGGGTTTCCCAGCTCTTACCCCTCGGGCCCTCGTCTCGCCCGCCTCTATTTCAACCCCCTTGTCTCCCCCTGCAATGCACCCCCTGGTATGTCCAACCCGCCTTCTTACACCCTTGTCTCTGCACTGAAGGCACATCATCCCTATTCAACTCACACTCCTGGCTTTGGATGCGATTTAAAAACCATATCGTTACTATCTCGTCTCTCCATGACTCCAACTCCTCGTGCATCCATAAGAGAACTCGCCCTCTCATGTGTTTGTTACTGCAGGCAAGTCGTCGCTGTTCAACTCGCTCTTCCGATTGGCCGAGATCGAGAGCGGGCGCATCTGCATCGACGGTCAGGATCTGAAGCTGTTTGGAGTGACGGATGTGCGCCGTGCGCTCATGATCATCCCCCAGACGCCCGTGCTCTTCACTGGTGAGAGAAGCAAGCACAGACAGACCATCCAATGCTGTCTGTTGGGTTGTCTAGCTGTGAAGCCTCTGAATTGACGGACGTGCGGCATGCGCTCATGATCATCCCCCAGACGCCCGTGCTCTTTACTGTTGAGAAGAGCATGTCAAGGATTTTAGGTAAGGGTTTGGGTTTAGACATAGGAGATCTTTGGAGTGATGAACATGTGCAGTGAGCTCGTTATCATTTTCCAAAACACCCGTGCCCTTCGCTGGTGTGGAAATTACAGATTATTCCCCCTCCATCCCCCCTCCATCTCCACCTCGTCCCACCTCCACCACTGCCACCCCTCTGCTCCCCTTCAATGCCCCTCTCCCCTCCTTTCGCCCCCCCAGGCACGCTGCGGTTCAACCTGGATCCGTTCAGTGAGCGCAGCGACAGCGAGGTGTGGGAGGGAGGTGCTTTGAAGGCTCTCAGAAGGCCCTTGACTTATCCACCCTCCATCCTTGATTTTCTCGTTTCTTTCTTCCCCCCGCGCCAGGCACGCTGCGGTTCAACCTGGATCCGTTCAGCGAGCGCAGCGACGGTGAGGTGTGGGAGGCGCTGGGGAGGGCGCACCTGAGGGAGGTGGTATCTCGCATGCCGCTGGGGCTGGACACAGAGGTGAGTGGAAGGGAAGGGCGTATGATGCTGGGAGGGAAACGGAGATGTTATCTGGAGGAGGAGTCACCTGAGGGAGGTGGTATCTCGCATTCCGCTGGGGCTGGACACAGAGGTGAGTAAGAAGGGAAAGGGATGTATCTGTACCTGGAAAGTGCTGGTACCGAGGTGTTACCTAATGGTATTGGTATCCCGCATGCCCGTGGGGCTGGACACGGAGGCAAGTAAAAGGAAAGATGGATGGTGCTGATAGGGAAATGGAGGTGAAGTTGAGGTGTTACCCAAGGGGGGCGGTACCTCAAGCTGAGTCACGCTGTCTACCTTCTTTCTTTACATGTCTCTTCCACTCCTCTATCCCCCTCTCTCCTCTTCTCCTCTCTGCTTATCACTCCTCTCTCTTCCTCCTCTCTCTTTCTTCCTCTTAGACTGTTACGGATTCTTACCCTTCGTCCGTTTGATAGTATAAATTTTCAGTGTGGGGCAAAGGCAGCTGATCAGTCTGTCATTTTCGCTGCTGTAGGAGTCGCGAATTTCGGTGCTCCCCTTCCTGCACTCCCACCCTCTCACCGCTTTTTTCTTCACTCAACTTCAGGTGGCGGAGGGAGGGGAGAACTTCAGCGTGGGGCAGCGGCAGCTGATCAGCCTGGCGCGGGCGCTGCTGAAGGAGTCGCGCATCCTGGTGCTGGATGAAGCGACGGCAGCCGTTGATGTGGGCACGGATGCGCTGATCCAACGTACGGTGCGCGAGGAGTTCAAGGGGCGCACCATGCTGACCATCGCCCACCGGCTCAACACCATCATGGATAGCGACCGGATCCTGGTCATGGACGCTGGCATGGTGAGTGGGTGGGTGGGGTTTGTCTGATAGGGCTTGGGCTTGTCATGCATCCACACCATTGCTCTGCTCACCGGCTCAACACCATCATGGATAGCGACCGGATCCTGGTCATGGACGCTGGCATGGTGAGTGATTTGATTGGATCTGAGACAATGAGGTGTCAGAATCCCAACCACTAACCACTGGGATAAAACGACTTGTTTGTGTAGCGGGTGAGTGCGCCTATAATCCCCGAGGCCGACGTGCCTGTAACCCTTCTCTAGGATCAATCGGTGATTTCCAGTGGACCTCTGACACCCCCCCGCACTGGGATGCCCGAGGTGCACACACCGGGATTCGAACCTGAGACATTCGCTCTAATACCATGTCAGGATCCCCCACTAACCACAGGGATAAAATGACTTGTTTGTGTATCGAGTTGGTGCGTCCATAACCCCCCAGGTCGACGTGCCTCTAACCCTTCCTTAGGATGAATTGGGGATGTCCAGTGGACCTCTGACATGAGGTGAGGTCAGTACCTAGTATTTGCATGATTGCCTGAAACTGCTAGGTACTTGCTCTTCCTCCTCCACCCTCTCCACCTCTCCCCCTCTTGACTCTTCCCCACTTCCCTCCAGACACTTGAATACGGGCCTCAGTCCGCCAAGTACTCACACTCTTCTCCTCTTCTTCATCCCACCCAGGCACTTGAGTACGACATGCCAGCCAACCTGGTGTTGAACGAGGGGAGCGTGTTTGCAGCCATGGTGCGCAGCACTGGGCCTCACACCGCCAAGTATCTGCTCTAACCCCACCTCTCCCTCTCTCGCTCTCCCTATCTTCTCCCAGGCCCTTGAGTACGACACCCCAGCCAACCTGGTGTTGAATGAAAACAGTGTGTTTGCAGCGATGGTGCGCAGCACGGGGCCGCAGACCGCCAAGTATCTGCGCAGTGTGGCGTTGGGGGAGGTGGCGCTAGCAGACGAGCTTGCCGGCCGGGCGGCGACGCAGGAGAAGCAGATGGCGCGCGAGGCGGCCAAGTGGCGGTGGGCCACTGCCGCGCAGTGGGCCCTCGCCCTCACGCTCACCTCCTCCCAGCGAGACTTGCAGGTGAGTGATGTGCAAGTCAGGGTGAGAGCGTGCATCCTAGGAACATCCTAGGAGCGTGCATGCCTCTCAGCGGCCAAGTGGTGGTGGGCCATTGCCGCCCAGTGGGCTCTCGCTCTCACGCTCACCTCCTCCCAGAGGGACCTGCAGGTGTGTTGAATAGGGGTGCTGTGGGTTGCGGTTCCGTCAGTTGCAGAGTGGCGGTGGGCCACTGCTGCCCAGTGGGCTCTCGCTCTCACGCTCACATCCTCTCAAATGAACCTGCAGGTATGTGCCCCTCGTACCTCTCATGCTCACGTCTTCTCAGCGAGACCTGCAGGTATGTGCATCAGGAGGTGGGTGCTGCATTGTCAAGGAGTGACTCACTGTGCCACTGCCACACGGTGGGCTCGGTCTCTCATGCTCGCGCTCACGCTCGGTTTCTCAGAGGGATCTGCGGGTGTGCACTATACTATAGAGGTGCCGGCGAGTACATGTCTGCAGATTAGCACTCCCTCGATAAGTCTGGTGCGTCCCTCGGTGCGTCCGGTGCGGCAGTGAAGGGGAAGGTGGTAGGGTGGGGAGGCGGTGGGGGTGTTGGAGCAACAACATCAGCAGCAACCGCTGCTTCTGAGGCGCTGCTGATTCTGTTCCACCAGGTTGAGACAGGTCTGGGCTGGTCTGGTCACCTGGGGTGCCCCCAACTCAACCATGCGCCTCAGGTGTGCTGCTTCAGAGGCCAACCACTGCTTCAGAGGCGCTCGAATGCACTCAACCAAGAGCTCTCAGCAACGCCTGCAGTGTACTGTTCATGGGTACTTGCTGAGAAGAGACATCCGTGTGATGTGAGCCCTGCATTTCTATGCTGTGGGAAGAGGTACGTGCTGATTCTTGAGGCGCCTAAAAATTGTTTCTCTGTGCCTGAAAACCCTCCTGTGTATTTGTGCAGGCCATGTGTAATGACAGCGAGGGGGAGGAGGGAGAGAGCAATGCACTTGTGGCCGTCGCACAGCCGCCAACCTTCCAGGTACAGCCGGCATGCCATGCCGCCAGTGGCAAGCCACACACTCCACAAGGAACCATCGATCCCCATTTGCTTTGCTACTCTGCTTCCCTGCGTCTCATTCTCCTCCAAGTGCCCGATGCTGCAGGGTGTTTTTGAGAACACCCTGTTGCCATTAATGTCGTCATCCTCTTGCATGTGCTTCTTGAGTGCTCTCACATCACATCTTGGCTAGCGATTCTTTAGAATTCTCAAGAGTCTCTCACATCTCTCAGCTTGGTGCTCCTTCACATTGGGATATGAGGGAGACAGCACCCAAAGGCCATGTGATAATTTAAGTGTTTTGAGACATCTCAAAACTTTCGGCATCGCACATGCCAACAAGCAAGTTCTCTCCCCTGTTCCTTTTCCTTCTCTCTTCTTGGCGTTTCTCATCTCGTGTGCCTCTCTCGCCCATTGTTATTTCGCCACTGCAGAGAGGCGTGCTGGAAGAGACAAGGGATGCCGCCCAGGTGCTGCAGGCGGTGCTGTCGGGGCAGCGCAGCGAGGAGATCTCGTCAGCGCTGACGAGGCGACAGCTGTCGGAAGACAAGTGGTGGACGGCTGTCAGCCGCGTGGTGCAGGGTGAGTGAATGTGTGGGGGGAGGGGAGGGGTGTTAGTGGTTGGGGGAAGACAAGTGGTGGACGGCTGTCAGTCGCGTGGTGCAGGGTGAGTGAATGCAGGGGGGAGAGGAGGGGAGGGGGTGTTAGGGGTTGGGGGAAGACAAGTGGTGGACGGCTGTCAGTCGCGTGGTGCAGGGTGAGTGAACGCATGGGGTTGCGTAGGGGTGGGGGGGGTTGGGAGTGGGCGTGGATGAGTGGGTGAGTGTGAGTGGGTGAGTGGTTGAGGGGATAAGCTTCTATCATGCATTGAGTGGAAGAGTAGTGGACGGTTGTCAGCCACATGGCGCAGGGTGAGTGTGTGGGTGTGGGTGTGGGTGTGGGTGTGGGTGTGTGTAGAAAAAAGGGAGTGGGGCAGGGGAGGGTGCGAGTGTGGGTGTGGGTGCGGGTGTGGGTGTGATTGTGGGTAGAGTGTAGGAATGTGAAATTGTGGCAACGCAGGTGCAGGCGAAGCTCGAGGCGGACGGCAGTGACTGCCAGCCAGCTGCTATCTTCACTCCAAGCCACTAATTACACTGTACCATGTATTCTAGCGTCTCAAATATGTGCTCCAATCCACTGTATGGTGTGCTGCTTTCATGTCTCTTGTATGCCAGGTTTGGCCCTCATGGCGAAGCAGGTGCAGGCGAAGCTAGAGGTGAACTGCCCCTCTTTGCCCTTTCCATCGTGTGCCCTGTCCCCCCCAGGCCTAGCCCTCATGGCAAAGCAGGTGCAGGCGAAGCTCGAGGCGGACGGCAGTCTGCATACAAGTCTCCACATGCCCTTTTTCTGCCCTTTTTCTGCCCTTATCTGCCCTTTCTCACCATGTGCTCTGTCCCCCCCAGGCCTGGCCCTCATGGCGAAGCAGGTGCAGGCGAAGCTCGAGGCGGACGGCAGTCTGCGGGACTCCGCCAGCTCAGCAGGGGCTGCGGCGGGCGGCAGGTGGGCACAGCTGGCGGCAACGGGGGAGGAGATGGCGGGCGGCAGAGTGGTGTGACTGGGAGGGAGAGTGACTGGTGCACTGTGTGTGCACGGAGGCAGAGTGGTGTGAGTCCAGCCAAGGCACTGCCGCATGGTCCACAGGGTGTGTGTGTGAACCCCCTGTGTGGGCCCCCTGTGTGCGCCCCCTGTGTGCGCCCCCTGTGTGCGCCCCCTGTGTGCGCCCCCTGTGTGCACCCCTTGTGTGGGCCCCCTGCGTGGCTTTGTCTGCCTTCTCCTCAAAGCCCGGTGGTGGCAGATGGGTGCGCCTGGTAGTTACTGGGGAGGAGACGGCAGGAGGAAGGCTGGTGCGATTGGGATGGAGCGACTGCTGCAATGTGCGTTTGAACATTAGACCCACATGTTACAACTTGATAACAAAAACATTCACAAACGAATCTATCTCCCAACTTCCAATGAACTAGTTACATGCTATTCGCTTGTACCGTTTACCAAACATTTCTCCCTTTCAAAGTCCTTCATCTCATGCAGCGGCTGCAGCAGCGTTGAGCAGAGCATTGTTGGCATCCTGGCTGAGGGCCCAGAAGAACCACCCTCCATAGCCTTGCGCCTTGTCAAATTGGACCTTGGTGGTGATGGTGGAAGGGTTGTCGTAACCAACCCACTGGTTACCCTTTACCGCATACATGCATGACGATGGGGTGTGGAACGTGGCTGTGTAACCTCCAGTGGTTACCAGCTGATGTACATAAGGACACCCGCTTCCTGATGGTGGGGTGGAGAGGGAGCATGCGGAAGGAAGAGGGTGATGAGATGAGAAGTTGGTTGAAGCTACTTGCTAAGTGTGAGACGAAGGAAAGAAAAGAAAATCAGCAAGGGCTGTTACTATGTGAGAGAGGGAGAGAAGCATGAACCAGAGAAACAGAGGGGAAAAACGAGGAGAAACAGAGGAGCACCAGAGGAGCACCAGAGGAAACACCAGAGGAGCACCAGGAAAGAAAAGCTCACCTGACTGATAGACCCAGCCTGACCAGGCCCAGTGGCCGGAGCTCCAACCCCAGTGCTGCTTGTCGAAGCAAGAGTCCAGGTTCGGCCGTACATTGCCAAGCCTAGCATGGCCTTGCTTCGGGCCAAGCCTCGGGACACCCAGGCAGCCATGGCACCCTTGAGACTCAGCTGCGGGTTGCTCAGATCCTCCAGAGCAGTGTGCATGCCTGTCTTTGCCTCCCACGACCCATGCAGATCGTAAGTCATAATATTAACAAGGTCCAGTGCTTTGTTAAGCGTTGGGACGTCATAGGCCAGGGTGATTGTAGGCTCATAGGCAGAGACCGCTGCAGGAAGAAGGAGCTTGGATTTTCGGGAGGCGGCGGCTTCGGATTCGATGGCCGCCCGGAAATCCGTGAGCAGGGCGGAGAAGAGGGCGGCGTTGCCTGTTGGGTACTCCCAGTCGATATCCAGACCGTCGAAATTGTACTTGCAGGCGAGGGCGATCGCTGATTGAATAAAGGCGGAGCGGGAGACGGGGGAGGAGGCGGCGTTGGTGAAAGCGGTGGTACCGGCGTTATATCCGCCGATGGAGAGGAGGGTTTTGATGGCGGGGTTGGCGGCCTTTAGAGCGGAGTTGAAGCGCAGGTAGAGACCCTGGGTGACGTCCACTGCTGGGTTGGAGGGGACGACCTGAGTGGAAAGGGAGAAAAGGTAAGTGGTCAGGGGTGAAAAGGGGTGAATAGGGGTGAATATGGGTTGGCGGTCTTTAAGGTAGAAACCCTGGGTGGCGTGCACTGCAGGTTTGGGAGGAACGACCTGTTATCTGCAAAAAGGATAAAGGCTATCTGTGAGAAAAGATAAGGATTATTTGGAGCAGATGATCCAGTAGAGCATGGCATACGCATTCACACCTTCTGTACCTTGTGTGTAGCGCCATACCTTGAATGTGGTGGGGTCGATGGAAGCAAATGCGTAGAAGACATGGGTCAGCTTGGCAGCAGGGACGACGGATGGATCCATGCCCGCCCAGTTGACAAAATACGCCATGCGCTTCATCCCAGTAGAGGGGGGCGGCGGAGAAGGGGAGGTGGACGGGGGAGGAGGGGAGGGGGAAGGAGATTTCTGGGGGGGCGGAGGGGGAGAGGAGGCGGAACCGGAGCACTGGGACTGGCAGCCAGCGCCGCAGTGGGAGGGGGAGGAGCCACACCAGCCCCACTTGCTGCAGCAGAACCCGTTCGGGCAGATGGTGTTTCCGTTCGCTGCCCCGCACTGCGAGTTAGAGGACACGGGCGGAGAGGAACCGGACGCAGGGGGAGGCGGGGAGGAGGGGTTACCCGCGCATGGGCCGGATAGGCAGCCGGAGCCGCAGTAATCCACGGTGGAGCCGCACCAGCCCCACTTGCTGCAGCAGAGGTTGTTGGCGCAGCTAGCCGTGGCGGAGCATTGCTGCGCGCGCGCGCGGAGGGGGAGGTGCGCCGACGAGAGCAGCAGCAGCAGCGCGTGCAGGAGGAAAAGGAGCGGAAACCGCGGCGACAGCGGTATGATCGCCATGCTCGGTCAGATTGAGCCGACTCGCCGGAAAAAGGCTTTTGAGAATTCTTAAGGCTTTCGGGTGATGATATGTAGTCGGAATGCTCGGTGAGGGGAGAGAGGCGCCGTTCAGAACCACGAGTGGCTAGGATAGGACGGTGTCGGAAAATCGGTGCTAGTGGGTGAATATCGGCGTGGAGAGGTGAGACTGCTCGTGGGATTGTTGAGTTCGGATGGGAAGGCTGGTTCGAGTGGTGGCTTTGGTGAAAAGTGATGGCGCAAGGCTGGGTTATATGCACTCTGATGGATAGAGCGAGTGGAGTGGTGCGCAGAGAGAAACGACTTGTTTCGCGTGACTCGGGTGCGATCGCGACTCGTCGCATTCGGAGTGCCTACAGCGCTTCGACTTCGGAATGCAGGCGCTGCGGAACGTCGGCTACGGCGGCGGCTGCAAGACCCCCGCGCTGCGTGTGCGTGAAAAAAGGTTGATATTACTGTCAACGGTTGGTGTACACACGTGCCGCGGATGATAGGGTTTCATCGTGGAAACACCCATGATCCGTGCCGACGTCGCGTCTCGGAAAGCGACGGTTATGCTTGAAATAATAATTGCTGCAAGGAAGAACACCGACGTCACGGACGGACGTCGACCTTCTCGCACAGACGCTATGGACAACTAAAACTTGGACTGGAGTCATGTATTTCTAGCAGGTCTGACTGTTCGAATGGCAAAAACCACATATCCACAGCGCAGCCCAACTGTCGTCCCGTGAAAGCCACGGGATGGGTTGGGATGGGAAAGGAGAGGGCTGTTGTCAGTCGTCATTCAACCCAAACCAAGATATAAGGGCGTGTGCACTGGGGTTTCGAACTAGCACATGTGCGAACTTTTAGCGAGGTACTACTACTTGGTAGCATACATTCTACAGACAGATTGTCACGATGCAAAGCGGTTATGTAACTTTGACAATTTCGCCAAAATGCACACGCCCTGAGCACACTCTTCAGATCAAGGGCGAGTCGCGGGGAAACATTTCGGCTTGTGTTCAGAATATCGGTTGAGAAGGATCCCAGATGAGAGCTGAACGGTCAAAGTGCTCTGCTTTTTGAATCATTCACTATATCCTACGGTGTCTAAGGAACAATTAAGGGTTATTCTCTCTGAGAAAATGATTATAATAGCTCTCATTTCGAATACAACCAAATAAAACATGTACAGACCCATCTCCACATTCCATTTTTTGTCTACGCATCAAGCAGATGTAAACTATTTTCCCCATACTGTTTGACTGAATGTCCATCTCATGGTGTCCTTTTCCGAGTCCTACCATGGGGTTCGTCTCATGCAGCAGCAGCGGCATTGAGCAAAGCATCGTTGGCATCCTGGCTGAGTGCCCAGAAGAACCACCCTCCATAGCCTTGCGCCTTGGCAAATTGGACCTTGGTGGTGATGGTGGAAGGGTCGTCATAACCGATCCACTGGTCACCACTTACCGCATACATAGAGGATGTTGGGGCGTCGAGCGTAGCTGTGTAACCTCCAGTGGTTACCAGCTGATCGATTTCCTTGTAAAAGAGGACACCAGCCTCCTGTTGGTGGGGTAGAGGGGGGATATGAAGGCCAAGGGAGAGGGTGATGAGATGAGAGCCTACTTGGAGCTGATTGGAGCTGCAAATTGCTTAGACTAAGGGAAAAGGGAATGAAGTTGCATTCTGAAAGTGCAAGAGGAAGGAAAAGGTGAAAGTGAAAGAAAAAAAAAAGCCGCAAAAGGCTGTGATCATGTGAGAGAGGGAGAGAAGCAAGCTGCGGAGAAGAAACAGGAAAGGGAAGAGAAGAGCTCACCTGACTGATAGACCCAGGCTGACCAGGCCCAGTGGCCGGAGCTCCAACCCCAGTGCTGCTTGCCGAGGCTAGAGTCCAGGTTCGGCCGTACGTCGCCAGGCCGAGCATGGCCTTGTTCGGAGCCAAGCCTCGGGACACCCAGGCATCCATGGCGCCCTTGAGGCTCAGCTGGGAGTTGCTCAGATCCTCCAGAGCAGTGTGCATGCCGGTGTTAGACTCCCATGACCCATGCAGATCGTACGTCATAACATTTACAAAGTCCAGTGCACTGTTGAGTGTCGGGACGTCGTAGGATTCAGCAATTGTCGGCTCGTAGGCAGAAACTGCTGCAGAGAGCAGGAGCTTGGGGTTTCCAGAAGAAGCGGCTTCGGATTCGATCGCCGCCTGGAAATCCGTGAGCAGGGCAGAGAAAAGGGCGGCGTTGCCTGTTGGGTACTCCCAGTCGAGATCCAGACCGTCGAAATTGTACGATCGGGCGAGGGCGATCGCTGATTGGATGAAGTCGGAGCGGGAGGAGGAGGAGGAGGCGGCGTTGACGAAAGCGGTGGTGCCTGCGGAATAGCCGCCGATGGAGAGGAGGGTCTTGATGGCGGGGTTGGTTTCTTTCAGGGCGGAGTTGAAGCGCAGGTAGAGACCCTCAGTGACGTCCACTGCTGGGTTGGACGGGACGACCTGTTGAGGGGGGAGAGGGAGCAGGTGAGGGGTTCCGGGTAAACAGGGGTTGGGGCGGAGTTGAAGCGCAGGTAGAGACCCTCAGTGACGTCCACTGCAGGGTTGGATGGGACGACCTGTGAAAGGGGAGAGAGAAGGTACGGAATACTGAGTTAAGGATGCACGGAGCATGGTGGGCCTAGGAACAGAGTTGAGGCAGGAAGTACAGTGTGATGAGCGTGAGATGGCAGGAAATACGGTGTGATGAGCCTGAGATGGCAGGAAATACGGTGTGATGAGCGTGAGATGGCAGGAAATGGAAGTGGAATGTCTAAACACCTGCACCAAATGGCACAGAGAAGTGTAAATGGCAAGAAGCACGGTACCTCGTATGTGGTGGGGTCGATGGAAGCAAAGGCGTAGAGAACATGGGTGAGCGAGGCAGCAGGGATGACCGATGGGTCCATGCCCGCCCAGTTGACAAAATACGCCATGCGATTCAGCTCAGTAGAGGGCGGAGGAGGGGAGGTGGACGGGGGAGGAGGGGAGCCGGTTACGGGCGGAGGGGGAGAGGAGGCGGAGGGGGAGCACTGGGATTGGCAGCCGGAGCCGCAGTAATCGGGGGAGGAGCCGCACCAGCCCCACTCGCTGCAGCAGAGGTTGTCGGCGCAAAGAGTTGTGGCGGAGCATTGCTGCGCGCGCGCGCGGAGGGGGAGGTGCGCGGACGAGAGCAGCAGCAGCGCGAGCAGGAGGAGGAGGGGAGACCGCGGCAGGGGAGGCGGTATGATCGCCATGATCAGCCGGGTTGAGCGGGTTTGCTCTGGAGGGGAGTGATGAGCAGGATGGGCTAATTATGCGCAAATAGGACTGCTGAGGTTCGCCTTTGATAACTTCGAGTGGTTAGAACAGGGTGGAATCGGAATGCGTCGCCAGTGGGTGAAGATCGGAGGGGAGAGGTGAGGCTGCTTATGGGTGAGTGGCGACGTCTGCTGAGATGTGATGGCGCAAGGCTGCGTTATATATACTCCGATGGATAGAGCGAGTGGAGAGAGGCGCAGAGAGTAACGACTTGTTTCTCTCTGGGTATCGACGGTAGGCAGAGAGTCAGGGACGCATGAAGTGGAAAAGGAGTGGAGTGGACTCATGACAGGCGACTGATGGAGCTGACAGGGAATGTATGGGAAACTTCCCATGGCGTTACCCAAGGTCAATAAGTGTAAAGCGATCGGTAATTCGGACCCCTGCAGGCGACACAACTTGGGTTACAAGAATCCGCGTGACTCGGGTGGACTTCGCTCCTCGAACCGCGATCGCGACTCGTCGCATACGGAATGTTTACAACGATTCGGTTGCGAAATGCGGCTGCGGTACGTTAGTTACTTCGTACGAGAAAAAAGAAATAAAGAAGAATGCATACGTCGGCTACGGCTGCGAGACCCGCGCGCTGCGTGAGTGTGAGAAAGGTTGATAATGCTACTCGCGTCCAGCAGACGATAGGGTTCCATCGCGGAAACAGCCGTGATCCGTGCCGACGTCGCGACTCGGAAAGTGACGGCTATCTACATAACGATTATTGCTGCAAGGAAGAACACCGCCGTCAAAGGCGTCCACCTTTCTCGCAGAGACATTCTGGTCTGGACAACTATCACTCGGACTAAAGTCTGGAATTTCTAGCTAGTCCGACCGTTTGGATGGCAAAACCACACAGCCGTCGAAACCGTCCCGTGAAAGCCACGGGATTTGGGTTGGAAAAGGAGAGAGGGCTGTCAGCGCAGCCAACCAACCCAAACCAACGTATACTACCCGTATCAGGGGCGTGTCGCGGAGAAACTTGTTTGGCTTGCGTTCAGAATATCGGTTGAGTGCGATCCCAGAGGAAATCTGAACGGTCCAAGTAGTTTGCTTTTGGAATCGTTCGCTTTTGTCCTACGGTATCTATGGAAGAATAAAGAGTTACTCGCTTCTGTTCTGAGAAAATGATGATGGTAGCACTCATTTCAATATACGGGTAAACCAGAAACACCTGTTCAGATCACTCTCCACTTCCCTATCGATATCTACACATCAAGCAGATAGACTATTATTCTTTCATACTGTTTGAGTGAAGGTGCATCTCATCCTGTCCATTTCTGACTGTAGGGTTCGCCTCATGCAGCTACTGCAGCATTGAGCAGAGCATTGTTGGCATCCTGACTCAGCTCCCAAAAGAACCACCCTCCATAGCCTTGCGCCTTGGCAAACTGGACCTTGGTGGTGATGGTGGAAGGGTTGTCGTAACCAGCCCACTGGTTACCCTTTACTGCGTACATGGATGATGATGGGGCGTGGAATGTAGCTGTGTAACCTCCAGTGGTTACCAACTGATCGATTTCCCTGTAAAATAGGACACCGGATTCCTGTTGGAGGGTGGAGAGGAAAGGGAATATGCAGGCCAAGGAAGAGGGTGATGAGAGGTTGGTTGGGAAAAAAGGGAATGCGTTACATTCTGAAAGTGCGAGAGGAGGCCCAAAAAAAAAAAAAGCAAAAGGCTGGTGATTATAAGAGAGAGGGAGAAAAGCATGCTGCAGAGTAGAAAAAGGAAAAGAAACAGCTAACCTGACTGATGGGACCAGGCTGACCAGGCCCAGTGGTCGCTGCTCCAACCCCAGTGCTGCTTGTCGAGGCAAGAGTCCAGGTTCGGCCATACATCGCCAAGCCTAGCATGGCCTTGCTTCGGGCCAAGCCTCGGGACACCCAGGCAGCCATGGCACCCTTGAGGCTCAGCTGGGGGTTGCTCAGATCCTCCAGAGCAGTGTGCATGCCTGTCTTTGACTCCCACGACCCGTGCAGATCATACGTCATTATGTTAACAAAATCCAGTGTTTTGTTAAGTGTTGGGACGTCATACGATCGAGTGATTGTAGGCTCATAGGCAGAAACCGCTGCAGAAAGCAGGAGCTTGGGTTTCCTAGAGGAAGCGGCTTCGGATTCGATCGCCGCCCGGAAATCCGTGAGCAGGGCGGAGAACTGGGCGGCGTAACCCTCCGGGTACTCCCAGTCGAGATCCAGACCGTCGAAATTGTACGATCGGGCGAGGGCGATCGCTGATTGGATGAAGGCGGAACGGGAGGACGGGGAAGAGGCGGCGTTGACGAAAACAGTTGTGCCGGCGGAATAGCCGCCAATGGAGAGGAGGGTCTTGATGGCAGGGTTGTTGGTTTTCAGGAAAGAGTTGAAGCGCCAATAGAGACCCTGGGTGACGTCTACTGCTGGGTCGGATGGGACTACCTGTGAGGGAAAGGTGCGGGATATTGGGAAGACAAAGGGGTCCAATCCAAGGGGGTGGTTTAGGGGTGAATAGGGGTTGGCGGCTCTAAGGGCGGAGTTGAAGCGCCAATAGAGGCCCTGGGTGACGTCTACTGCTGGGTCGGATGGGACTACCTGGAATGGGGAGGAGAGAAGAAGCACGGGAGGTGATAGGGAATCAAGAGTTGGAAAATGAGTGGGGGAAACGAAACAGCACATCAAATAGGCAAGAGAAGTGTGCTGCAGGTGGCACGGAGAAGTGTGCATGGCAAGGCAGTACACTATGGTACCTTGTAGTGTACCCTACCTTACATGCATATCTTACCATGGCGTCGATGGAAGCATAGGCGTACAAGACATGCGTTAACGAGACAGCAGATGGCACGGACAAGCTTTTGCGTGGTAAGATAGAGCGCAGTGCAGTGCAGTGCGGTGCGGTACTTTACCTGAATGGTCCTTGTATATTTACCTTGTTTGTGGTGGCGTCGATGGAAGCAAAGGCGTAGAAGACATGCGTGAGCGAGGCAGCAGGGATAAGAGATGGGCTCATGCCCGCCCAGTTGACAAAATACGCCATGCGCTGCAGCCCGTTAGTAGACACAGGCGGAGGGGAACCGGACGCGGGCGGAGACGGGGGGGAGCTGCGCGGGGGAGGGGGGGAGCTGCGCGGAGGAGGCGGGGAGCTGCACGGGAGAGGGGAAGAGGCGGAGGTATTTCCCGCGCAGGGCCCGGATAGGCAGGCGAGGCCGCAGTAATCAAGTGAGGAGCCACACCAACCCCACTTGCTGCAGCACAGACCGTTCGGGCAGATAGTGTTTCCGTTCGCTGCCCCGCACTGCCTGTTAGTGGACACGGGCGGAGACGGGGGAGAGCTGCGCGGGGGAGGCGGGGAGCTGCGCGGAGGAGGGGGGAGGCGGGGGTGCTGCCCGCGCATGGGCCGGAGAGGCAGCCAGAGCCGCAGTAATCGGGGGTGGAGCCGCAGGAGCCCCACTTGCTGCAGCAGAGGTTGTTGGCGCAAAGTGCGGAGGCGGAGCACTGCTGCGCGCGCGCGCGGAGGGGGAAGTGCGCGGACGAGAGCAGCAGCAGCGCGAGCGAGATGAGGAGCAGCGGAGAACGCGGCGGCGAGGGCGGTATGATCACCATGATCAGCCGCGTTGGGGCGACGACTCGCAAGGCTGCTGCTGATCAGGTCGCGGGGAGTGGCCGAGCGAAGGACGGGTTGTTATGCGCAGAATAAATAGAATGGGGAGAGGTGAGGATGCTCCTGGGATGGGTGAGTGGCGTCTGGCGGCTGTGTTATATACTCCGACAGCGACGCGAGAAGCGGACCCATCGTGAGGGGGACTAAGCGGGAGGAAAGGGGAGGGACTGGCGGGGAACTGGGCAAAAAGGTGCGATCCCATTTTCCGTATCGCAAACGACCTGTCCCGTTCCAGGGCTGTCTGTCGAATGGTCTCGGATCAAATCGCCGCACTGCGCGAATAGTTGCAGGATTACATGAGTGGAGCCGGCCGGACGAATGAACCTGCACGTGCATCGCCTAATCGCGTCGCGTCGCGGACCTAGTCAGACTGTTTGGTGTGTCTCGGGAAGCAGGGACTTGCACCCATGTTCAAAAAGATGAACGTCCACGTTCCCGAGAAAATCTGAACGCACCATCACGTGACCCGTCTTGGGACTTGCTTCTGTTCGTTGCCATCGGTTAAGAACGGTTCTGTGAAATTCAGGGACACCATTGAGAATATTTAATAAGACACAATAGAAAAAGACACAAAGATTTCAGAAATAAGGAGAAACAATAGTGTGTTGGACCTGCAAAGCAAGGACGGAAAAGGTAAGCATACTCTGAAACGTAAGGGTGTGCGCTGCGATGTTTTGTTGTCATTTCCACTCTGTATATTTTATTCTATTCTGTTTTGTTTGCCATTGTGGGTTGTAGAAGAAAGCCTGCTTATTTCCAACACCTCTGAGCAAGAAAAGTATGAGAAAAAAAATGTAACAAAAAATTTACAGATTGTGATTCCACTTGAAAAAGGGTTTGCTGTAAAGGAGACATTCTCCTTTACCTTTCGGCAGGTCCACGGGACCTGCCACCTAGTCTCATTTGCAACTTTCACTTTCACTTCCACCTGTGACGACTGCACTGCACACTCTGAAAGTCGTGTCACAATCCTGCCATTATCCAGAAGAGCTTCACCCACATTTCTCATGCAAATCTTACAAAAACACCCTCCACTTCATCCTCGTGTATTTATGATTCCAATAAGAAGGCAGTGCATGGAAAAGGGTAGTGTTTTTCAAACTGCTCTCGTAATGGCCAGAACCATACCTGAGGGAGAAAGGCTGCACAAAGCTCCTCATTAGCCAGCCGAGCCAGCGCCCTCCTAACAGCTGATTCATTCTACTGTACGTATAACAGCTGCCTTACACAATTTAATTCCCACCATCAGTGTTCGCAGAGCGAAAAGGGCCGTTCAAAGAGCTCCTCATTGGCCAGCTGAACCAGCGCCTTCCTCTCTTCCATCAGAGCATCCCTGTACTTCTTTGCCTCTTCCATTGTCATTGCTGTGCCCCTGCCATCCCTGCTCTCTCTATCTACACACCTGCTCTCTGCCCCTACACCCTGCCCCTCCCCTCCGTCTCCTCCCTCATCAACCTTACCCTCCTCCCCACCTCGCTCCACACCACTACTTTCTCCCTTACCCTCCTCCTCACCCTCTCCGCCACCCACTCCCTCTGCAATCAAATCTAGTGCTAACCCAGGCAGGACCGAGCACGGGTGGCCTTTTCTCTCCAGCTCCCTCCGCTGCCAGCTCAGCTGCTGAGGTGGCACGCGCGCAGTGGATACAATAGCCAACCGTGGATCCACCAGGAAAAAGACAAGGATCTTCCGGTGGCCGGCGCGGGTTTTGTCCCGTAGCTCGAACGGCGCGACCCGGTGGTGGAAGTGGTTCGGGAAAGCAAGGCAGAGGTTCGGGATGTCGGTCCGGACCGAACCTAGAGGTTGGGTGAGAGGTCCGTCGTTCACCAGGCCGTATATCCGAGCCACCCCTTTGTTGTCGTTCTGGTCGTAGTCTGGTTCGGCAACGGTGATTCTGAATTGAAGGCGCGACTCGGTGATATTTTCAGAGTCGAAATAGTATATGCCCGTGGCCTGGAGGAAGGGAAAATGGGGAGGAGAGGGGGAAAATGGAGAGGGGAAGCAGAGGAGAAAAGGGGAGTGGAGGGGAGGATATAGAGGTGTTATGTCACTCCTTTATTGTTGTGCTGGTCGTAGTATGGTTCGGCAACGGTGATTCTGAATTGAAGGCGCGACTCTGTGATATTGTCAGAGTCGAAATAGTATATGCCCGTGGCCTGGGGAAGGGAAAATGGGGAGGGGAGGGTGAAAATGGGAAGGGGTGGAAAAAGGGGGAATGGCGGGGAGGATATAGGTGATTCCGAATTGGAGGCGCGACTCAGTGATATTATCTGAGTCGAAATAGTATATGCCCGTGGCCTGGGGGACGGCAAGGGAAAAAGGAAGAGGGTGGGGAAAGGGAAGACGGAGAGCAGAAAAGGGAAAAGGGTGATGAGAATGGGAAAAAGGGAGGGAAGGGAGGGTGTGGTCTGAGAGAGGGATACGGGTTAAAAACAATATCAGTTGCATTGCAAGGTCCAAGATATTTCTAATGATACATCTATTCTCATCCTTCCCCTCCCCTACCATCCTACACCCTCCCCTCTCCTCTCATCCCCTCTAATCCCCTCCCTTCCCCTCACCATATCCACTCACCACAATATGCTCATTCCGCATGCCCCCCACATGCCATGCCAAGTACCCCCAGGATATCCCAGGAAGGCAGCGAGCGTTTGACTCGCCCAGGATATCCCGGGCTGTCAGGGGTGAGTCAGACGCTCGCTGCCTTCGCCACGACGTTGCAGGTTGTTTTTTAGAGTTCTCAAAAGCAACATGCAACATCATTCCACATGCCCTCCACATGCCATGCCAAGTACCCCCAGGATATCCCGGGCTGTCAGGGGCGATTCAAACGCTTGCTGCCTTAGCCACGATGTTGCAGGTTGTTTTTTAGAATTCTCAAAAGCAACATGCAACATCATTCCGCATGCCCTCCACATGCAACATCATTCCGCATGCCCTCCACATGCCATGCCAAGTACCCCCAGGATATCCCGGGCTGTCATGGATGAGTCAAACGCTCGCTGCCTTCGCCACCACCTGCAGTCGCCGCCCCCTCACCTCCACCAACCACTCCTTCCCATCCCTCACACCCTCTATCACTTGACTCACCACAATGTATTCATTCCGCATGCCCTCCACATGCCAAGTACCCCCAGGGTATCTTGGGCTCTCAGGGGTGAGTCGAATGCTCGCCACCTTCACCACCACCTGCTATCTCCTCCCCTTCAGATCCACCACGTGCCCACGCTCGCTCCTTCCCACCCACCACAGCCCCTATCACTCACTACAACGTGTTCATTCCACACGACCCCTCACGTCCACCACGTGCCATGGGAAGGGAGGTCGTGGGGGGGAGGACTCACCACAATGTGTTCGTTCCTCATGCCCTCCACATGCCAAGTACCCCCGGGGTATCTCGGGCTGTCAGGCGTGAGCCGAATGCTCGCCACCTTCACCACCACCTGCAGTCGCTGCCCTTTCAAATCCACCACGTGTCCGGGGGACGGGGGCTGTGGGGGAGACAACTCACCACGATGTGCTCATTCTGCGTGCCCTCTCTAATGGTCCTTCCCATCCTTCACCATAATCACTCACCACAATGTGTTCGTTCCGCATCCCCTCCACATGCCAAGTACCCCCGGGGTATCTCGGGCTGTCAGGCGTGAGCCGAATGCTCGCCACCTTCACCACCACCTGCAGTCTCCGCCCTTTCAAATCCACCACATGCCCGGGAGAGGGGGGCGGTGGGGGTGAGAACTCTGCAGGGGTGTCTGGCTGCTTGGGCTGCCGGTCCACCAGCCACTGGTGGTAATCGTCATCGTCGTCTTTGTCGTATTCCCGCTCGCCCTTCCACTCGTCGTACCACCTGGTAAGTGGGTAGAGGCACAGTTGAAAGATAAGAACAGGGGGTCCTGGAGGACAGGGCTTGGGCTGCCGGTCCACCAGCCACTGGTGGTAATCGTCATCATCTTTGTCATACTCTCGCTCACCTTCCCATTCATCATACCACCTGGTAGGGGGGTGAGAGGCAAGACAATAATGGACAGGGGCCCAGTTGAAACATGGAGCGTTGAAGAGCACTGCTTGGGCTGCCGGTCTACCAGCCATTGGTGGTAATCGTCATCGTCCTTGTCATACTCCCTCTCGCCCTTCCATTCATCGTACCACCTGCATTGTAGTGACAGGTGGGAGGGAGAAAGTAATGGATAGAGGCACAGTTGAAACATGGAGCCTTGGAGCAGGGCTTGGGCTGCCGGTCCACCAGCCACTGGTGGTAGTCGTCGTTGTCATCCTTGTCGTATGCCCTCTCACACTAAAAAAGTTTTGACGATCCAACACAATACAGCACAATGGTAGCATACACGTTCCATTCTTAACAAGCAAGCACAAGCAAATAAACGCACAACACCTCCACACAAACGTACCCGTACAAACTTACCCGTAAATATCATAGTCAAATCGCTCTCGTCGCTGCTGGACTGCTTCCGTCAGCACTTTGTTAAACAATGGAACAAACGCAGTGGCAAAAATATGCTCCAGACCCCGATACATCCCCGCAAACTCATGCGGGTGCAGGTTATTAATATACGACCGAAACTTTGCACTCTGCCCGTCCGCAGCAACGTCCACCTCGGCGGGTAGCCACTGAAACTTTTCCGAGAGGTACGAATGGTTCCCGGTCGGGTAATACACCGGTCGGGTCGGCTGGCTGAGCGGCATAGGCCGAGCCACCTCCCCCAAACTACTAACCAGCTCATCCCAGGGGAGAATCTGCAGGTCGTTTGGCAGGTCCTGGATAACTCTAGTGCGGCCGAAGACAAGGCAATGAAGGCTGGGATGAATGAGATCGATCACTTGGTGGTTTGATCCCGGGTGGTAGTCGATTTGATCCTCGGGAACTGATTCGAGTTTGGTGATTCCGTCTAGGAAGAGTTGCTTGAGTGAGGGGTCGAATGGGGGGTCTGGGGAGATGAACACGCCGTTCACTGCGGATGGGAGGACCTTGGGATTGCCGTGGAGGGAGAGGGAGGAGAGGGAGGAGAGGGAGGAGAGGGAGGAGAGGGAGGAGAGGGAGGAGAGGGAGGCGGAGGGAGTGGAGGAGGGAGGAGAGGAAGCAGGGGAGGTGGAGGAGAGGGAGGAGGCGAGCCAGCGAAGCTCAGAGATTGCGTAGGTGAAGAGAGGAGGGTCGATCTGGGAGGGGGAAGGGGAGAGACAGAGAGAGGGAGAGAGGGAGAGAGATAAGAAGCGAGGTGAGAGAGAGTGCCGGATGGAGAGAAGGACAATGCGGAGATTCATAGTTGGAGAGACACAGAGGCGGAAATGGAAAGAGAGGGAAGATTCTAGTCTGGAGCACTGCTATCCCTACACAAAAAGTAAGGAAAAAACGCAGGCTCTCTCTCTCTTTTTTTTTTTCCTCCAACTATTTGTTAAAACGTTTTTTGGGAAGACGAAGGGCTCACTCACGTCGTGCGCGGATCACCTTGACGGGCCGCGTTGTGGTCTCCCTCAGGAACGAAAGCACGGCGGAAGCTTCCTCCGCACTCCAGTACTCCTTGCTGGCGTCGATAAAACCGTCAGGATGGACGTCGGCTGCCGGCTCCGTCAACTCCGCCTTCCATTTCCTGACGATTTCGTCGTCTGTCACCTTCCGGATCCAGTCCGGCTTCTCGCGAATGTGACCCATGACGCGACACAACAGCAGCTCCTTAAGGCTTCGCACGGGAAAGCCGAGCTCGAAATCGCCGGCATTGTCGAAGGGATTGGGAAACCCTGGAAGATCCTGATTCTGTCGAAACGAGTTGGGTGGATCTGGAGTCGCGGATGGATTTGCGGATTCATTTGAATTCTGGTACATGGCGACGGTGGTGGAGTTTGAAAATGGCCGGCGAGCAGCGCGAAGGGGAGGTTTCGAGCCGCGTCGACCAGTGATGAAAGGTGTGAGGGAGAAACGGCGGGATGATGGGACGATACAGCCAATCAGCCTGCTGCTCCTTGAGAAGCAAATGGCAGAACGGCTGAACAAAGCACTGGGAACTAGCGCAGCGGACATAGAGAAGTAGTGTGCGAATGCGGCAGAAGCAAGAGTTGTAACTACGTGGGTGGGAGGCAGGGTTGATTGGAGGAGAGAGCCAGAGGATTCCACATATGTGAATGACACACACAAGGCGCATGCAAAGAGGATGATGAAATTCCTGCTCGCTTGGCAATCTCAATGCGTTGATGTGTGCTGTGATTGGTCGACGTGCTCCGTCAGAAAAAAATTTGGACCATTTCTCGATTTGTGCGTGTCATCCTTGCGCAGGGGCCATGCTAATCTTCTCTGTATCGTTCCAATTTTAACGGATGTCCCGAAGGACGACGAAACGGTCAACTGTGAAGAATATATTTGTTACGGTTTTGCTGCTTTGTACAAAGTGGCCTATTTCCGCACCTCTCAAAGAAGAACCCAAAACCAAGGCCAACTAGGATGCACTTCGCTTGATCTTCTCGCAACGCTTCCCTCGTTTCATTCGCCACTTCAAGCCTTCTTCCTGCTGGCGACGTAACGCTGTACCTTCGCACTCACGCACTTGCATGCTCATCATTTCATTACGTATCCTACCTTCTAAGGCGCATAAGATAGATGTGTTCACAGTTTGCAGCTAACTTGCAAATCGTCAAGTCCTTACCGACCGACTCGTAGAGTTGTTACAAATCTAACACTAAATTGCATCTCGCGTATTGTGGACCGTATCGACTAAGCGTCGCGATTAGCGACAGCCGTAGCAGCAGCAGCAGAGGAAGAAGCATCAGCTTGGGCCGCGCCAGTGGCAAGATAGGATGAGGCTGACGTGGCACGAGTGGCGATAGCAGTTGCGGACTCATTAAATAGGGAAAGGTTGTGCAGCGCGTAGGCGTTGGTGCAAAGGCAGCTTACCTACAACAATAACAGCAATAACACGCAAGAGAACGAGCAGCACCAACAATCTTTGCACATTTGAGACGTTTCAAATTGACTTTTCAAATCTTCTGCACACCTCAGTGATTTATTAGTCAGTGCTGCTGCACTCCACAGCACACGCCCCCTCCCTCCACCCCTACCATCCTGTTCCACCCTCTCGGCCCTCCCTGGTACCAAACCAAGTCTCTCACTTCACTATCCCTAGCAGCCCTTTTTTAACTGGAAGGATGAACAGAAGCAGGTTACCCTAACGGCTCACAAGTCAAGAATGGAGATATGTGCACATATCCTTGTTCGCAGCCTCGCAGGCCATGCCTAACCATTGCGCTGTCTTGGTCTCGCTCACTTCACTACCCCTTTAAATAACCCCTAGTTTCTACGCCTTGAAAAGGCATGTCATGTCGTCTGAGATTGCCTTCAACGCCCCTTCGATTATCTTGTACACCCTTGGGATACCGTAATCTCCTGCTTTGCCCGTAAAAAAATATTTATTTTACTGCCCATGAAAAAACTTCTATGCCTCTTGGAAGATCTTTCCCAAGCGCATGATGCCGCTGGCCCTCTTCTTCCTGTCCTCCTTAGAAACAGTCTTGTCTTTCACTACAAGCTCCACCACGTGGCGCAGTGTACTCTCTATGTCCAGCACGCTTATCTGTTGCAATTGGCAAATGGAAAGGAGGATTGGGCAGGGAGGAGAGGGGGGTTGCAAAGAAACCAGCAGATAGAAAATGAGCAATGAGCGAGGGAGCGAACGAGGAAGTGAGCAAGGGAGGGAGTATGGGACTGAGTGAGGGAGCAAGCGAGGGATGGAGCGAGTGAGGGAGAGGGATGGTTGACCAAGTATTAAGACTGGGAAACCCAGAGTTGCGAAGTATATGCAAACTTCATTCGAGAAATGCCGAAACGTGGCACAGCAGAAACCAGGTAATGCAAAGATGCACACGTATTTTGTTGTGAGCAGAACTGGTATGTTGAGGTCAACAGGTAGAATGTGGCTGTAACAAAAGCCGTTGCCAAACTGAACCATAACCAATTCAAACCAGGTAGGGGCACGCTCACATCGGTTCGGGTTTGAGTACGCAAACATTGAACCGGTTCAGTTTGATTGTGTTCTCATGCCCTCCGAACCAGACCTAATGGAATGCATGTACTGAGGTAGACAAAAGGTAATGCAATGAGCTAGACAGAAGGGAATGCACTGAGCTAGACCAAAGGGAGTGCATGAACTGACCATCCAGACTGGGTTGAGGAATTCGGGCATGTTGGGCTGCTCGCTGGGGAGCAGCTTTTGAGTCGACTCAAAAGTCAGTAAGACCAAAGGGGGTGCACTGACCATCCAGACGGAGTTGAGGAATTCAGGCATGTTGGGCTGCTCGCTGGGCGGCTTGCTGGGGTCCACTGTGACCTGCATCTCCGCTAGCCTGGTGGGGGAGGGGTGGAGGGGGGTGATGATAAAGGCACGGGGAATCACGGAGAGAAGATAAATGCTGGGAAATGGCACGGAGAAGCACTGATTGCTGCTAGCTGGGCGGCTTGCCGGGGTCCGCTGTGATCTGCATCCCCGCTAGCCTGGTGGGGAAGGGGTGGAGGGAGCACAGGGAAACAGGAGATGCACAAATAAGCACGGAGAGTTATTGATGCTGCTCGCTGGGAGGCTCGCTGGGGTCCACTGTGATCTGCATCTCCGCTAGCCTGGTGGGGGGGGAAGGGTGGAGGGAGATGTTAGGGGGAAGCACGGGGGGTTGAGTGAATGGAGGTTGTTGGGTCCATGATGTGGGGGAAGCACGGAGAATCATTAGACGCTGTTCCCTGGGAGGCTTGCTGGGGTCCACCGTGATCTGCATCTCCGCTAGCCAGTTAAGGAGGGGGGGCAATGAAGGGAGCGCAGAGAAGCACAAAGAATGGCGGAGAATCATCGAATGCTGCTCGCTGGGAGGCTTGCTGGGGTCCACCGTGACCTGCAACTCTGCTAGCCTGGTGAGGAAGGGGGATGGAGGGAGGTGATCGGGAGTTTGGTGGGAATCACAGGCCGCAAAGGCATCCTCTGAGTACCTCTGAGGTCAATGGACGCAAATGCATCCTCTGCGTGGCAAGGGACGTATGGGGGAACTTGGCGAGATATAGAGCGAGGCGGCTGGGATTTAGGGGACAGCATGGAGAAATAATTGATGCTGCTTGCTGAGGGGATTCTTTGGGCAACACCAGTCACCGGTGTTTCAGAAAGCCCGCAGGGTGAGAGAGGGGTTTGTGATTATGGAAACGGAAACGTTGAAAGGTTGCGGGTAGTTAAAACCCGAGGTCCACAGGTTCCAAGGGTAGGAAGGTTGGTTGGACCTAGTGACTCAACGAGAGGTAGGATTCTTCTTGGGGGTTATGGGCATTCTTTGGAATCAGGGTGATAGCACATCAGGCAGATTCATCAGGTGAGTGGTAATATATGCAATCCATAGAAAGGTTATGCACAGAACTAAAATGCATCATGTCAGCACGGGTGTAGAACATTATGACGTTCGTAGAGGGATTGCCCAGGAGAACTGTTTCGGAAAGTCGCACTCACTTGAACGCAGCGCCGATGGCGTTGTTGCGAGTCTTCATCGCGTGCCCGGACTCCTTGACCGCGTTCACGAAGTTCGGAATGCCCAGCATCACCGTCATGCCCAGCAGCACTTGCGCGCGCGTGTAGTACGTGTACCTGGACCGGGGAAAATAATTTTGTTTGGGGGAGAAGAGAGAGCCGGGGGTCAAGGAAACAAAAATAATTTTATTTTTAATGTTGGTGGCAGCAGTGAGGATGTGGAAAGATCTTGAAACTACGTTTCTTTTCCCGCGGGCGGAATTGCCTCGAAGTTTGTAACGAAACGAAATGTGACATGAGGCGTGAAGGGCTAACTCGGCGACACAAGTGGAGGTCGAGTCCGTGTCAGACGGCCACACCCCACACTGTTTAAAAACACCACGTACGCGATTCAGGCTTAAAAGCACCACATACCCGATACACTGCAGGCAGGCGACGCCGAACGCCTCGCCCTTGAGCTCGTCCACCTGCTTCACAACTTCCCTTACGACCCCCCCCCCCCCCCCCCACCTTTTTTTTTTTCTCGACTCAAGAACCACCCCTTTTTTTTTACTCGACTCAACAACCACCTACCCATTACACTGCCAATACACCCTATCGCAGTCCCACTACACGTACCCGATGCGCTGCAGGCAGACGACGCCCAACGCCTCCCCCGTGAGCTCGTCCACCTGCTTCACAGTCGCGCGCACGGACAGACCCGTCCTATTTCCGACTCGACTCAAAAACCACCTACCCGACACAGCCCCGTTACACCTACCCGATGCAGCTCCATTACACTTACCCGATGCACTGCATAGTTTTGAGGCGCCTCAAAACTAGACCGATGCAGCTCCATTACACTCACCCGATACACTGCAGGAACGCGACGCCGAACGCCTCGCCCTTTAGCTCGTCCACCTGCTTCACAGCCGCGCGCACAAACCCCTCATATTTCCGAGTTTTACTACAGAAACCACCTACCCAACACAGCCCCCTTAAAAGTACCCGATGCACTGCAGGAACGCGACGCCGAACGCCTCGCCCTTGAGCTCGTCCACCTGCGCGACGGCGTCGCGCACAAAGCCCTCCTCGTCGCCCGCCATCCATTTCTCCAGCCGCTTCACCAGAATCGCCGCGAGCTCCTTCTCTCTCTTCGTCTGCCACTTCTTCACCTCCTCCACCGTCAGATTCCCCGCCGCCGTGTACGCGATAGTGAGCTCCCCGACAAGCGGCTTGAATCTATCCGCGCCGAAAGACATGGTGAAGAAATAGCCGGGGTCCATGAAGGTATCGTCGAGCGCGGCGCGGCCGAAACGGTCGTATTTCTCGCGCTTGACGGGGTCCATGAGCACTTGGTAGGCTTCGCCGACCGCCTGAAATCTGGCCTTGGCGGTTTCGTCGTCAGGGACTTTGTCGGGATGGCACGTACGCGCTAGCTGCGGACGCGAAAGAGGTGTGAGAGACAAAGGGGGGTACAGTGCCACGCAGTGCGTGGAAAGGCGGGGACGGAAGGAGGGTCGAGAAGGGGATTATATGTTGTCCTGGCACTCAATAGAGGCGGCATTTTTCTCTCTTTCTTATTTCTTTCTTGCATATTGTTTGTTAGTTTGTTTCCTCACAAAATAAGTACTTTCAAAATCCCTACTTTCACGACGCACCTTGTAGTACGCTTTCTTGATCTCCACAGAAGTCGCATCGGTCGACACCTCCAGAACCACATACAGCTCCTCCTCCTTCACCTCCCGCTTCTCTCGCTTCTCCGTCGGCGCCGCCGCGGCTTCGGCGGGTTGCGCGGTTTCCTCTTCGAGCGCGATCTTCTCGACAGTTTCGCGCGTTTGCGAGTACGTCTGTTCGTTAAGCTTATCCGCATCGGCATCCTCCACGACCTCCGCTTTCTCCGCCTCCTCCTCACACTTATCCTTCTTCATCATCTCCCGAATCGCCTCGGGCGTGTTCTTAATCCCCTGTCCTAGCTGCTGCGCGCCTTGCACGATTCCAACGGTCGGCAAAACGACGAGACCCGCAACGCCCGCGATGGTTCCTTTGATGAGCCCGACGCCGCCTTGCTGCACCAGCCCCGCTACCGGCGCCACGATGAGTCCTCCGACGCCGGCAAACACGCCCTTACCAACGGACATCAGTCCCTTGCCGAGGCCTTCGCGAAGGTTCTTCGCGTTGCGGTCGCCGTACAGCTGGTCGATTTTCTCCTGAACCTCCGGCAGCGTCATTGGCTGAATGCCGCCCATGGTAGGAGGAGGCGGTCCGGACGCCATAGCTTCTGCTGCGACGGAGCGGTAAGTTGCAAGCTAGTGCCAGAGCTAGCCGAGGCGGAATGGGGAAGAGCGGGGAAGAAGAAATTGGGAAATTGGGATGGAAAGGAATGCAGGGGGGGACAGGAGCTTCAGGGGATGTTGAATGTGTTTTGAGGGTTGCAGCTTTCCCCTCTTGGCAAATTGGGCTAAAGCTTCTCTTCGAGCAGACTCTATAGAGGTTCAAAGCGTTACAGATCGCTTAAGTCATTTTCAGTACGGTGATTGTTCCAAATAGTCGAATCGAACGTCTGGTGATGCCACCCATCGAGATATCTTGATTTCAGTGACCAATCCCGTCGCAGTTCTCGATGCGCGGGAGACGTACAGTCAGCGTTTCTGTTCCCCGACCGCGTCAAACAAAAACGCGAAGCACACCAGAAATCACGCGCACCCCTGAGGGCGCCAATCTGTTGTCGTCGCGAATTTTGGGTACCAGTGCCTTGTCGTGACTCGCAATTGATTTTGATGTTTCAGTGCAATTATAAATCCTATTACATGACGAATAAAACGTATATCATCACCAAAGAAGTGCAAGTACCTATAAGCATCTAACCACATGCCCTGCAACATAGCAGTACAGCATATCCTATGATTGAAAAAGGGTGTTTTCATATTTATAGCACATAAGAGAAAACAACATCAATGGCTAAAAAAAATGGGCCAAACCCCTCCAGCACTAACAGCCTTGAGGCCAAACCTTTTTATTCATGCTTACGACCCAGTTCCTCCCCTAAAGAATCGGCCAAATGGATTAAACCTTCCCATACCCTGCTGCTGCTGTCTCTCAGTAGCAGCCCTCAGCCTCTCCTCCCGTTTGTTCTGTAACTCCTCTGTCTGCTGTCTCAACCGTTCCTTACCCCCTTTCCCTTGCTCTCGTCCCCCACGCATCTCCCCCCTCCCTCTTGAAGCAGCGGAGCGCGGCGCTGACGTGGCGTGAAGACGTTTTAACCGACAGGACTCGTCTTGATGCTGCTGTTTCCTGGATGCTTCTAGTGTGAGAAGCTGCACACAGGGAGGAGGGTGAAGAACAGGTCTAACAGGACAAATTGATGCTTGCTGGGAACGAAATGGCAGAAAAAAATGCAGATATGGTAGGGGTAGAGGGATTAGGAAAGAGACCATGCAAGCTGCAATGGCTGATAGTGGCTGAAAGTGAGCTGGCATGCAAACATGCTGCCCACACATGCTTAGCTGGCATGACGACATGCCATCCACACATGCCACTATATCACACCCTTGCGCTTATCGAGGACGACGATAAAGAGGATGTGGCGGCAGACGTCCCACCAGCCACAGCCGACGGTGCTACCGGTGCCCCCCCTGTCCCTCCCCTCGCCCCATCCCTCTCCTCTGGAGCCTCCAGCAGCGAAGCAGCCAAGCCACTGTTCCCACGCACTGCTAGAGCAGCAGAAGAGGCAGCATGAGCAGCAGAAGAGGCGGCATTGGCAGGAGGAGGAACAGCAACAGAGGAGAGGTGCGAGGGGACAAGGCGGGTGGCAGAGGCGCCGCAGGCAGGGCATTGGTGAGCAGGAGGGAAGAAGAAGCTGTCGTGGTGGCGGCGCTGCAAGCACTCTCTATGAAACCCGTGCCCACACAAAAACACCTCCACTGCTGGTGATCTCTTCCCTGCTGCTGCTGCTGTGGCCACTGCTGCTGCGGCTGCAGCTGTGGCTGATAATGCTGCTGCTGCTGCAGCTGCTGTGGCTGGCAATCGTGGTAGTAGCAGCGGGGATGGTGGTGGTGCTGCTGCTACTGCTCCTCTAGCAGTTGTCGAAGCTGGGGAGTACAGGGCACTGGAGCAGAGACAGCAGGAGCGGAAGGAGGGGCGGATGGGGTGCTGCAGGAGGGAGAGAAGGGAGGAGCAGTGTGAGAACGAATCTGTATTGGCTGCCCGGGAAGCAGCAGCCAATAGCTGCTGATCCGACCCTGCCCGACCTAAAATTTCCAGTAGCCCTCCCACCACATCTCCTGCTGTTCTTGCTGCACCCACCTTCTGAGCATTCTCCGCCATTACACCTTGAATAAGATCTCGTCCCGCTTCCCCATCTCTCTGCTTCTCGCCAGCACCAAGCAGCCAGGCAGCAATGACAGGCAAAGGTACCATCCCTGCCATCTCTGCTACAGTGGCCGTTGCACAGCACTGTAGCAGGAATCGGACGGCAAACAGAATCAAATCGCAGGCTCGCGGGCGGCTGTCCTGCTGCCGCCGCTGGCTTTGCTGCTGCTGCTGTTTTTGCTGCTGTTGTTGCTGTTGCTCTCGTTGCTGCTTCTGCTCCGCATCCCCCTCTCCCTCCTGTTGTTGCTGCTGCTCCCGAAGCAGCACAAGCGCGTGACAGCAAGAGGTGAAGAGCGGGGGTGGAGGAGGAGGGAAGACCGATGGCGGCAGCGACGGTGCCGGAAACGAGCTCAGCGCAGACGGAGCAACCACCTGCTGGGCGTTTTCACCTGAAAATTCACCTGAGGAATCACCTGCTGGGGACTGCAACCTGTTCCTGCCTGCCGCTGCTGCGTCAAATGCCCCTGTGACTCTAAGGAGGTGTGAGTACAGTGAGTGCCAGCGGTTGGGGAGTGTGTGTGATGGGGAGGGGTGTACTGGTGGGATGGCTGGTGGCGCAGATGGGATGGGGAGGGCTCTGAGAGGGAGGAGAAAGCTGTTGGGGGGAGTGGGTATGGGAAGGCGAACCAAGGAGAAACAGAGAGCAGAAGAAAGGATGAAATTAGGGGCAGAATGGGGGATCATGGGAAAAGGGAAAGTCAGTCAATAAATGAGGAGTAACAATAAAAGGAACAGGATGGTGAGTAAGGGAATGGATGAAGATGCAGACAGACTGGGGCGGATGCGGATGGGCCTAAATTGCACTGACTTGATAAGGGGCGATCGAAGCGCAAGTCAGAAAGAATGAAACTTACAACCGAACCCACCTTCCCCATCCTCCCCTTCCCAACACACACACCACCCACACAAACACCCATCCACCATCTCCCCCCCTACACCACATGCCCCTCTTCCCCGGCCTCTCAATCTCAAATCAGTCATCCCCCCCCCCCTCTCACTCTCCCATCCCTCACACCCACCAGTCCAGAAGGGTTCGCCACATGGCACGGCACTGCCAGTGAGGCAGCCTGCACGTGCTGTGCACACAGAGAGCTGCTGCTAGCACCAATTAACACTCCCAACAGTTACACCAGTTACCATTCATCACTCACACCCTCAAACCCACCAGTCCAGCAGCGTTCGCCACATGGCGCGGCACTGCCAGTGCGGCAGCCTGCTGGTGCTGCGCGCACAGAGAGCCAGCGCCTCATGCTGTATGGCTAGCAGCACTCGCACCTGTGGGGGGGTAGAGAGAAGACGGTTGGGAAAATTCAAGGCAGGATTAAGGTGAGACGAAAAGGGCACTGGCAGTGGGGCAGGCTGACGGGGCTGCGCGCACAGAGAGCCAACGCCTCGGAAGGTAAGGGAAAGGGGTGAAGCCCGCACAGAGAGAGCTAGAGCCTCGTGCTGTATGGCCAGCAGCACTCGCACCTGTGGGGGGACGGTTGGGAGAAGGGAGAGTTGGGACGATGGGAGTGAGCCTGATTGAAAGGTCACAGAGAGCCAGTGCGTGTGACCTCTCGGTTGAAAGGAGTGCTGCTGGATGACTCGCAACGACTTATGAGGCGGATTTTTTAGTCGTGTGTAGTAAGTCGATTTTTGAGTCGCGAGTTGTATTTTTTAGTCGACCCAAAAAACGACTTACTAGCTGCTGGATGACCCGCAGCGACTTTTGACGCGCCTCAAAAGTCTTGCTGCTGGATGACTGGTCTTGTGACATAATTCTCAGCGAGCTGCAAACCCCATCTCGCTGAGAATTATGTCACGCGACTTTTGAGTCTGACTCGCCTAAAAAGCCTTGCTGCTGGATGACTCGCAGCGCTAACAGATGACTTTTGAGTCGACTCAAAAGTTACCTCGTCAAAAGTCGAGTCGACTCAAAAGTCACCTCGTCAAAAGTCGAGTCGACTCGAAAGTCACCTTTTGACGCGTCTCAGAAGTCTTGCTGCTGGATGACCCGCAGCGCTAACAGCTGACCGACTGACTGACCGACCTGTGATTTGAAATCAGTGAATCAGCCTCTATGGTACAACAGATGTTGCGTCGTGTTGTTTAAGACGTCTCAAAAACTCTCTCTCACCCACCTCTTCCATCTGCAGCACAAGTGCCATCAGTCCGCCACTCTCCTTCCTCCTCATCCTCCTCCTTTTCCGGCCCTCTCTTCCTTGCTCTCGACTTGACGCTCCCCTCAAGCCAGCCTTGATTTCGCCTCTACTTTCACCCTCTCCCCTCCTCCCAACCTCACTCTCAGGCCCCTCAGCAGTTGTTCCCACTACACTCTCCCCCATCATCCCCATCCTCTTCTTCTTTCTCCTCCTCATCATCATCCCAGCAATCCCTCTATCCAGAGCGCGCAAGCAGCAGTGCAATTCCACCAGCAGCAGCGCCAGAGCCTCATATACCAACCCCATTCGCTCCAGCAGCACCCGCGCCGCAGCGCTGATGTGGCAGTTCAGGGCTGGCTCTCCTCCCCCCTGCTGACGTGGCGCCTGCGGAGGCGCGCCCTTCTGACCTGGCATGGGTTGACGTGGCAGCGCGGTGAGCGCCGGGGAGATGTGCGCGAGGCAGACGCGGAGGCAGCGGTCGAGGCGACAGGTGGCGAGCGGTGATTGGAGGAAGGGTAGCAAGGCGGGAGGGTCGTAGATACAGAGCAGCTCGATATAAAGCTCGACCATTCGTGGGGATGCTGCTGCAGCTAGCTGCTTCCTCTGCTCCTCCCACCCCTCCTTCCCCAACCTCTCATCCACTCCTTTCCGTTCTGATCCGTCCTGCAGTGATGCTTCCACCGCCGCCGCTGCTGCAGTTGCTGCTACTTCACCTGCTGCTGATTTTGTGTTTGGGCCTGCTGGTGCTGCTGATACACCTGCCGGTGGTGCTGGCAGCAATGGGAGCAGCAGCAGCGGAGGAGGAGGAGGAGGCAAATGGGAGAAGAGGGCACGCAGCAGGGCAAACTGCAGCTGTGGCCGGCCAGCAAGATCGGCACTCACAATCAAATCTAAATCCAGCCGCAGCAGCCCCAGCGCCACATACAGACAAGTGCCGCCGTCCAGCCGCACCAGCTGCGCCAGGTGGCGCCGGACGGCCAATCGCAGCGCAGCACCCTCCTCCCCGCCCACCGCCCCGTGCCTACGGGTGAGGGCAGATGCAGAACCACCACCCTCTTCCTCTCCTCCTCCACCCACTGTCCCGTGCCTACGGGTGAGAGCGAGGGCGGCCTTTTGGATGAGGCGGAAGGGCGTGTCGGGGTGGTGGGTGTCTGTGAGCAGCGAGGAGAGCGCTTGCTGTATGCCCTGCATGCCGTGTGCTCGCATGAACAGACGCGCACACACCTGGTTGGGGAGATGGGGGCATGAAGGGAGAGGGGAGTTTCCATGTGCTTAGTCAGAGGGGACACAGAGAGAGAGGAGAGCACTTGGTGTTTACCGAGCATGCCGTGTGTTCACATACATAGACGCGCACACACTTAGTTGGAGGGGTGGCTAGAGGTGAAAGGGAGAGGGAGGAGAGGGATTTTGGGATAACGCGGGAGTCAGAGTGGGTCAGCACCCTCTTCCTCTCCAGCCCAGCCCTGACCCACCCTGACCAGCCCAGCCACTTGATGTGAGAGAGCAAGGGCTGCCTTTTGGATGAGCATTCAAAAGTTGAGTCGACTCAAAAGACACCTAGTGAAAACCACATTGCAGAACCAAGGGCAGGAGAGCGTTGAAGTCCACATCACAGGGGTCAGGCAGAGCTATCCTGTCACCAGCACCTCTTTCTCTCACCTTCTCTCCCTCGCCCTCTCTTTCTCACCTGGTGGAATCCGGCTTGCAGCGCCAGGGGCAGGAGAGCGTTGAAATCCACACCGCAGGAGTCAGGCAGAGCCATCACCAGCCCCTCCATCCAATGCTCCCTCTGCCTCCAGTCAAGAGCAGCGGTCAGCTCACCTGGTGGAATCCGGCTTGCAGCGCCAGGGGCAGGAGAGCGTTGAAATCCACACCGCAGGAGTCAGGCAGAGCCATCACCAGCCCCTCCATCCGCTGCTCCCTCTGCCTCCAGTCAAGAGCAGCGGTCAGCTCACCTGGTGGAATCCGGCTTGCAGCGCCAGGGGCAGGAGAGCGTTGAAATCCACACCGCAGGAGTCAGGCAGAGCCATCACCAGCCCCTCCATCCGCTGCTCCCTCTGCCTCCAGTCAAGAGCAGCGGTCAGCTCACCTGGTGGAATCCGGCTTGCAGCGCCAGGGGCAGGAGAGCGTTGAAATCCACACCGCAGGAGTCAGGCAGAGCCATCACCAGCCCCTCCATCCGCTGCTCCCTCTGCCTCCAGTCAAGAGCAGCGGTCAGCTCACCTGGTGGAATCCGGCTTGCAGCGCCAGGGGCAGGAGAGCGTTGAAATCCACACCGCAGGAGTCAGGCAGAGCCATCACCAGCCCCTCCATCCGCTGCTCCCTCTGCCTCCAGTCAAGAGCAGCGGTCAGCTCACCTGGTGGAATCCGGCTTGCAGCGCCAGGGGCAGGAGAGCGTTGAAATCCACACCGCAGGAGTCAGGCAGAGCCATCACCAGCCCCTCCATCCGCTGCTCCCTCTGCCTCCAGTCAAGAGCAGCGGTCAGCTCACCTGGTGGAATCCGGCTTGCAGCGCCAGGGGCAGGAGAGCGTTGAAATCCACACCGCAGGAGTCAGGCAGAGCCATCACCAGCCCCTCCATCCGCTGCTCCCTCTGCCTCCAGTCAAGAGCAGCGGTCAGCTCACCTGGTGGAATCCGGCTTGCAGCGCCAGGGGCAGGAGAGCGTTGAAATCCACACCGCAGGAGTCAGGCAGAGCCATCACCAGCCCCTCCATCCGCTGCTCCCTCTGCCTCCAGTCAAGAGCAGCGGTCAGCTCACCTGGTGGAATCCGGCTTGCAGCGCCAGGGGCAGGAGAGCGTTGAAATCCACACCGCAGGAGTCAGGCAGAGCCATCACCAGCCCCTCCATCCGCTGCTCCCTCTGCCTCCAGTCAAGAGCAGCGGTCAGCTCACCTGGTGGAATCCGGCTTGCAGCGCCAGGGGCAGGAGAGCGTTGAAATCCACACCGCAGGAGTCAGGCAGAGCCATCACCAGCCCCTCCATCCGCTGCTCCCTCTGCCTCCAGTCAAGAGCAGCGGTCAGCTCACCTGGTGGAATCCGGCTTGCAGCGCCAGGGGCAGGAGAGCGTTGAAATCCACACCGCAGGAGTCAGGCAGAGCCATCACCAGCCCCTCCATACCGCTGCTCCCTCTGCCTCCAGTCAAGAGCAGCGGTCAGCTCACCTGGTGGAATCCGGCTTGCAGCGCCAGGGGCAGGAGAGCGTTGAAATCCACACCGCAGGAGTCAGGCAGAGCCATCACCAGCCCCTCCATCCGCTGCTCCCTCTGAGCCCGCCTCACAGAGGGGGAGGGGAGAGCCAGGGTGGGGCGGGCGACGGTGGAAGAGGGAGAGGAGGACGACTTCTGCTTCTGTACAGATCCCTTAATCGCAGCAGGAGAACTGGCACCAGCACCAGCACCAGCACCAGCACCAGCACCAGCACCAGCACCAGCGCCGGCACCAGCACCAGCAGCGGCAGCGGCACCAGCAGCGGCATCAGCAGCAGTGGCAGAGGCAGTGGGCAGGGCGTGCAGATCAAATGTGACAGTAGAGGATGTGAGATAAACGAAGATGGTGTTGAGGGAAGTTCGGTCAAGCTCCACTCTCCCTGCTGCTGCTGCCTCTGCCACCAACTCTAGCACCCTGCCTGCTGCATCCCCGAGCCTGTCTAGGCCCAAGCCTAGCCCCAGACCTACATCCGAGCCTTGCTCCGAGCCTGCATCCAAACGTACAGCTACTGTGTCGTTTGCTCCCTTATTGGAGTCCTCGTTACTCCTTATTGCGTTGGCAGCCTCGCACCAGGAGCGCACAATTTCGAGTAAAGTATAGACAAGTCTACCGCCAGCTGCCGGATCTACAGTAGCATCCTCGTTATAAGCTCCACCTGCTCCATTTTGATTCACCAGCGTTGAATCCGCACTCGTTTGTGGCTGATCCAGTATGGACACAGAGCGGAGAATCACGCGCAGTACAGACAGAGTGGCTTGGGGATCGAAGGAGAGGAGGCGGGCGAGGGGCGAGCAGAGGAGGGCGTGGGAGGAGGGGGAGAGAGCGGAGGGGCGGTGGTGGGGTGGGCGGTGGGGTTTGAGGAGAAAGTTGAAGAGCTCGGCTTGGGCTGAGGGCAGGAGAGATGGGGAGATGACACCGCTTCCTGGGGGGATGAGCAAGGGGAGCGGAACGCGGTAGGGGGGGGGGGAGGTGGGGGTGATACAGAGCGAGAGCAACAAGGGCGGTGGGGTTTAAGTAGAAAGTTGAGGAGTTCGGCTTGGTCTGAGGGCAGAAGAGACAGGGAGATGGCACCGCTGCCTGTGAAGGTGGGCAAAAGGAGGGGAGTAAAGAGGAGGTCAGGGTGATACAAAGAGACGAGGGCACAAGAAGGACAGAACGAGAATGAGAACTTCAGGGAAAATGAGATGGAAGGGGAGGGTAACTTCGGAGTTGTATGCTGCCTGAAGAACTTGAAGGTAGTTCAAGGTGAAGGGAAAAAGGTCCGCCAAGAGAACAGCAGGGATTGATGATGCGAGTGAACTCGTTTTGAGACGTCTGAGAGCAAGATTACTTTCACAGGGATTGACTTTTGAGGTGCCTCGTACATTTACTTTCACGGGGATTGAAGTTAACCACGAAGGTCTAGAGGAAAAGAATTATCATGTCAGTCGAATCACTTTGTCCACAAGAGGTGATCTCCTGACTGAAGGGAAGTCAACTTTTGAGTTTTCTTAAAAAAAAAGAAAGAAAGAATAGAAGGAGAAGAAGAAGAAGAAGAAGAAAAAACAGCTTGACTCACCTGGAGGGAAGTTGAGGCCGGAAAAGGTGAGCTTGAGGAAGAGCAGCAGGCGGTAGCTGGGGATGTGGTGAAAGAGGGAAACACGCAGGGACAAAAGATTTCGCAAGAGGGAGTTGGCAACGGGGAGATGGGAGAGAGGTGCAGAGCGATGGGCCATGGGGAGACGGGAAAATACTTCTCCACAAAACCCTCTCCTTGTCCAGTCATAGAAGTCACATGCTGCTTGCGGAAAAACCAGTGGCAGAAGACTAACTTACTCACCCACACTGGCGCCCCTCCTCCCTCACCTCCCTCTCCTCCTTTTCCTCCCCCTCCTGTTTCTTACGCCGCTGCTTGTCCCGGCTCCTCTCCCCACCGGAACCACTTCTGTGAGCTTCAGAGGAGGTGGCAGCGAGGAGGGTGGAGAGGAGCTGCTGGGCTGGCGAGACGAAATCCGCGAGGGCGCGCGTGAAGAGGTAGATGAGGGCTGAGTGCAGGCTATGCTGGCGACACAGGCGCACCACCTAGGAGGGGTGAGGAAGGGAGGGATGGGACGCAAAGAGAAGGGGAGCTGAGTGCATGGGTGTTCTGGCTGTTGCTGGCTCAACCGCACCTAGTGTGTCTCAACCGCACCTAGTGTGTCTCAACCGCACCTAGTGTGTCTCAACCGCACCTAGTGTGTCTCAACCGCACCTAGTGTGTCTCAACCGCACCTAGTGTGTCTCAACCGCAACTAGTGATGTTGTGCAAAAGTGCTACTTTGCTGAGGGATGAGCGTCTTCATGCTCAATCGCACCTGGCTGACATCAGGTGATGTTTGATTCAAGAGTAGGCGATGTTCACATGCAGTGTATGCTGCTATCAGCCAGCAGCTGCATGCATATCAGCACACACTGCACTGCTGCTTCATTATCGAGCTACGCACGCATTGGATCGTTCTCAAGAAAAAAAAAAATCTGAATCACGGGGGCAAAGTTCACTATTGAGTGGATCGCTCCAAAAGTTCACTCATAAGCCAGATTGGATCGTTCTCAAGAAAAGTGAGTCACCTCAAAAGCCAGATTGGAACGGACCACTCATTGGTTGGAAGGGAAGCAGAGTGCAAATCCAGCATTGGAAAAAATGTAACTCACACCTGGTTGATATCAAGTGACGCGATGTCCATATGCAACACACACTGCTGCACGCGCGACAGCCACCCCCTCTCACTGTAATGCTCCACCAGCGCTTGCATCACCTGGTGGGTGCGACGGGGAAAGAGACGCACAGAGAGCGGGACGGGTCAGACAAGGAGAGCACTTTCCCTGTCACGTGGCAGCAGTCCAATGCCACTGTGATGCCCCACCAGCACTTGCATCACCTGGTGCGCGCAACGGGGAGGGAGAAGGGCACACATACGGCGGGTCAGAGACAGAAAAATTTCACCATGATTTACAAGGGCGCACATATGCGCATGCATGAACAAAGAGCCTTTACAATAACCAGCCACTCTCACAAACTGACATTTCCTCCCGCTCCCTTACCTGGTGAGACCATATCGCCTAGGTTAACCAGAAACAACGTGTGCATCTGGGCAAGTCATGTTACATCATTTGTTGATCTGGGCAAGTCATGTTACATCATCAGTTGATCCAGAAAAAGTGCCGAGGTGATTCATTCATCCGGCCCGATCGCAATTTTGAGCGCAGGTGCATCTAAGCAGGTTGTACCTCACCCCATTCCTAAGCGCACAGGTGCATCTGGTCAGGCAGATGTTACCTCTGGGGGAAGCGTGCTGAGGTGGTCCGTGAGGATGTAGGGCTCTAGCAGCTCCAGGAAGATGCCTGCACGCACACACCAGAGTTGGCGGAGTGGGTGGGGGAAAGAGAAAGACGTGCTGAGGTGGTATCTCAGTGGGGAGCGCACTGAGGTAGTCCGTGGGGACGTAGGGCTCCAGGCAAATGCTTCAGGGAGCAAATCAGAGGCTGGGCGGTGGGGGGAAGAGAAAGAAGTGGGATGGACGAGTTGAGTCACAACAAGTCACCTTTGTGAGGATGAAGGGCTCTAGGAGCGTCAAAAGAACTACTCATGTGGCAAAGAAATACGTATGGACGAGTGGCAACGGAACCAGAGACACTGCCCAATCGGAGGGGCTTGGGAGGCTACCCAAGCATTTCTTGGCAGTGCTTTTAGGTTCGAAAGAAAAAGAAATTCTCGTAGCAAAGAAGCTCGAGTGCAATTAGGGATAAGAGAAAGATCGTTTCAATATTGAAGCTTAAAGAGTTACCTAAGCATTTTGTGAACTGGTTAGTGGGACGAGCACTGTGGTAAAAAAAAACGTTTTTACGTTAGCGCCTGTTCTACTCCGCGGCTCTTAATCCAACCACGTTCGCGCTTAGCTAACTCCGCGGCTCTCACTCCAATCTGTAACTCCACAAATCTGCGACTCCACGGATCTTTGACTTCACGGATCTACGACTCCAGCGAAGAAACATGGAGATGCAAATTCGTGGAGACGCGGATCCGTGGAGACGCAGATTAGAGTAGGAACTGCGGAGTAAGCCAGGTGTGAATGTTATTGGATTAAGAGCTACAGAGTAGAACATATTCTTTAGATTCTGGCCTCCCAATCCCCTCCAAAGAGCGGTGTCTTTGGTTTTGTTGCCACCGAGGTGGCAGCTGGTACACTCAGGTTTTTATAGGAGCCTATAAAAGAAGTGTGGCGGCAGCTGGTGCACTCTCCATAGCACCCTCACGCATAAGGTGTGTGGGGGTGCCACATATCAATACAATCCGCATCCCCACACACACATCTGCCACCTCTCACTGTGTTAACCCTCCCACATCCCCACACTCCCACATTCTCACCCCGCTCCGCTCACCTTGCTGCCTGTCAAACACAGCCCAAAACAGAAGCGGCACCTGGTGCACGCGAATGCAGCCCCCTCACGCACAACCCACTCGGCATCCCCACCCACACATCTGCCCTCTCACTTCGCTGTCCCCTTTGAGTGAATTTGTCAAACCAACGTCGAACAGCAGGGGCAGCTGGTGCAGGCGAATGCAACACCCTCATTCATGCACACCCCAACCCAACCCGCACTCTCACACATCTGCCATCTCACCTCGCTGCCCCCTTTGAGTGAATTTGTCAAACACAGCCCCAAACAGCAGAGGCAGCTGGTGCACGCGGATGCAAAACTCTATTGCCACCCCGCCCACCCGCACGTACTCCTCCCTCTGCTCCCCTCCCGCCGATGCCTCTGCCGTCGCCGCCACTGCTGCTGCTCTTGCGGAGTCGGAACCCTCAGCTACAAATGCACTGGAATGATTCCCAGACGAGCTTGGGTGGCGGGGTGACAATTCAGGACTCGCATTCACAGGACTGAGCGCTACGGGGCTTAGAACCGCTGGGCTTAGAACCGCCGGGCTTAGAACCGCCGGGGTAAGCGCTGCCGCACTCTGCTTTAAGTACGAGAAAACCTGCTCTATGTATGCTAAGAGGAGAGCCCCCATTTCTGCTGCTAGCTCCTCCGGGTCACATGGTAACCCTGTTACGCCCACCGCCCGCCCTTGGTAGATCTCCATTGCAGTGTGCAGCGCATTCATCCAGTCACCGGCCGCTTCCAGAGATTTGATTCTCTCCTTCCAGGATAGTAAGTGTGCCCGCACCACCATGCCGCCCCCTTGCAAGAGGACAAATGCCGCCGCTCCGCTGCTCCAGGCGGCGACGCTGTTCTGGAAGGAGGGGATCGGGCGGCCGCTACGAGACAAAAAGGGGTGGAAGACCAGGCCGAAACGGCCGTGGCCGGCGGCACTGTAGCTGCTGTAATCCGAGTCTGAGTCGTAGTGTAGCAAGGGCTGACGCTTGATTGGCTGGCCGCCCAGCGAGAAAAGACAAAAGTGCTCCGAGGCCGTGAGGATGAGGAGAATCTGATGTGGATGGGACGAGGGGAAGAGAAAGGACAGAGAGAGGTAGGGAAACATGAAAGGGTTAACAAGTGCAGGAGATATGGTTCATCCAAGGGCGGTAGAGTGTTTTTGAGAATTCTCAAAAACACCCTGCAGTAATGCAGGAGATATGGTTCATATGCAAGGGCGGTAGAGAGAGATATGGGATAGGCCTGAGTGGCTTCGTTTATTGGTGGTGTATGTGATTATGTGCATGCAGTGCAGCTCCATGCTCATGCGGCTACACCCATTGCCATGCCCATGCCCACACCCACGGCCATGCCCATGCCCATGCCCATGCCCATGCCCATGCCCATGCCCATGCCCACGCGCCCATGCCCATGACCATGCCCACGCCCATGTGCGCATACACCCCATGCGGCCATACCCCCCATGCAACCATGCCCACCCTAAATTAATGCCCACATGTCTCACCTGGTGGTCTAACCATGCTAGGCCAGCGACAGTGGAGTGCACGTCCCAGCGGTGAATCACCTCCATGCAGCTAGGTTTTCCAATCATGAGCGCCCCATAACCCGTGCCCTGCCAGACAGTGTCATACCTGGTGGTCCAGCCATGCGAGGCCAGCGACAGTGGAGTGCACGTCCCAGTGGTGAATCACCTCCATGCTTCACCACGCACATGCCCCTGCAGCTAGGTGTTCCCATGACGAGCCTTCCCATAACCCCTTCCTTGCCTACACCCCATGACCTGCCTAAACAACAGACATACCTGGTGGTCCAGCCAGGCAAGGCCTGCCACAGTCGAGTGCACGTCCCAGCGGTGAATCACCTCCATGCTGCGCCCACACACGCTCACCACCAGCACCACCCGCCCCCACCCCAACGCAAACACCTTCTCCTGCACCCACGGCCCCCGTGCCCCTGCTCCCCCCCCTCCTGCTGCTCCCCCTCCTGCTCCCGCCCCTGCTCCTCCCGCTGCTGCTCCAGCTCCTGCTGCCGATGGTGGTGGTGGGGATGAGCGGGGTGACGCCGAAGCTGCTGAATAAACCCTCCCTCCCCGTATCCTTCTCTCTGCCCCTCCTCTCCCACTCCCACCACTACCAGCCCTCTCCGCACCCCTGCTACCCTCCCCTGTCCCCCCCACACCACCATCAGACCCTGCCTCGCCACCCACACTTGCTCGCCCGCCCTCGCTGCTTCTGCTGCTCATGCTGGCATTGCCACGGGTGGCCATGCTGCTGCCACCACTGCCGCCAGTGCCGGTACTAGCAGAAGAGCGAGGGAGCACCAGGGGCGTGGGAGGAGGGGGACTCACTCGAGACGAGGCGGAGGGAGACGAGGAGAAAGGGGGCGAAGAGGACGAGGGGGTGGAGGAGGAGGGGGCGAGGCGGGAGGCTGCGGGTTTGAGGAGGGGGGAGGGAGGGGGCGGGGCGCGGCGGAAGGAGAGGCCCCATCGCCAGGCAGCATAGGGCAGAGCAGTGCTGTTGGGGTCGAGAGCGTAGGGCAGCAGGTCGAGCGTGCATATGGGGGCGAACTTAGGGAGAATCTGGACCTGCAGATGGGTTGATTGATGGGGAGGGAGGGGCACACCAAGAGAAGAGACTTTTGAGCCCCCAGCGCCAGCCAGGCAGCGTAGGGCAGGGCCGTGCTGTTGGGGTCCAGGGCGTAGGGCAGCAGGTCGAGCGTGCATATGGGGGCGAATTTCGGAAGGATCTGAACCTGCAGAGCGAATGACGGGGAGGGAGGGGCGCAGCACGGGGATTATACGGCGCCTTGAAAGCAGCGTAGGGCAGGGCAGTATTGTTGGGGTCCAGGGCATATGGCAGCAGGTCGAGCGTGCATATGGGGGCGAACTTGAGGAGAATTTGAACCTGTGGGAGGAGTGCAGCAGGGGACTTTTGGGGTGCTTCACAAGCAGGTTGAGCATGCATATGGAAACGACCTTGGGGAGGCATTGAACCCTTGGGTGGGAACAAACTTTTGATATTTCTCAGAACCAACTCGTAACAATATGACTTTCAAGTCGAGTGAACTAGTGACATGATTCTGAAAATTCTGAGAATTCTGAGGAGCACTTACCAGCAGCAGCACTTTGTCTGTCACCATCATCACTTCTCCGGTAGTCATCTCCTCCGCTACCCCCTCCCCCTTCTCCCCTCCCGCTCCTCCTCCTCCTACCGCTCCCTCTCCCCCACCTTGCCTTGCCTCTGCTGCCACACCAATGCTCTTTCCCGCGCCTGGGAGCCCACTCTGCTGCGCCGGCCCTGCCGAACCTGGCTGGCAGGCTTGGGAGGCTAGGTTGGAGCTAGTGGAGGCAGGCTGGGAAGGGTGGATGGGACCTGGTAACCATGCGGAGAGCAACAGACAGCGACCGCCAATCTGGACAGACAGGGGGGGAAGAGCAGGTGACGGGAGAGGCAGGAAAGAGGAGACTTAGGAAAGAGGAGAGGAAAGGAGCAAGTGATGAGAGTAATGGCAAGGTGCGGAGACGAAAGAACGAGAGATGAGCCGATGGTAGACGAAACGACAGAAGCCCAGTGTATGTATGCTTCACATTTGTGACACTCACCTACCTGGAAGTGACATTCATGGTGCGCAGGAAGGACAGGTAGGTGACTGAGTGCAGCACCACATACTCCATCGCATCCCCCTTCACCACCTCGTAGCTCCTCCCTGCCACTCTGCTCCCCCCATCAGCCCATCAAATACCCCCTCATGAGGCTCGGTCCCCTTGCGGCATCACACTCACCTTCCTGGAAGTGACATTCATGGTGCGGAGGAAGGGCAGGTAGGTCACAGATCGCAGCACCACATACTGCAAAGCACACCCATGAGCCATCCATTTACGAGGCTCGTCTAGAGAACCACTTACCTTCCTGGAAGTGACGTTCATGGTGCGGAGGAAGGGCAGGTAAGTCACTGAGTGCAGCACCACATACTCCATCGCATCCCCCGTCACCACCTCGTAGCTCCTCCCTGCCGCTCCCCCCATCAGCCCCCCTGCTGCTCCACTCATCAGGCTCGTCGCTCCACTCACCAGCCCCGCTCCAAAATCACTCCCCATGCTTTCTCCTCCTCCTCCTCTTCCCTCCCCGCCTCTTCCTCCTCCCCCGCTTCCCCGTTGCCCAGGGCCGGTGGCAGCAGCAGCAGCAGCACCACCACCACCACCACTCGCACCACCAGCAGCAGCACCAGAACCACTAGTGGATATAGGAGATCCCGATGCAGCGAAGCCAGCATGCACAACAGCAGCAGTATGCTCCCACACCACCTTCACCACGGGAGCCACCAACCCCCCCAGCGCACTCCCCAGTCCCCCCACACCTCCCCCGCCCGCCCCCGCCCTTCCCCCACCCTTCCTCCCGCCTCTCGCCTCACCACCAGCACCACCAGCACCAGCAGCAGCAGAAGAAGAAGCGGGAAAGCGTGGGCGGAGGGAGGAGATATCCCACAGCACCACAGCCCCGGATGCGAGCCCTGCTGCTAGCAGATCAGCTGCAGGGGAGAACGCCAGCACAGACACCGCCGTCCCTCCGTGCCGCATTGGGGAACTGGCAAAGGCGGAAAGAGGGGGGATGAGCTCTGTGATCCGGGCGGGAGCAGGGGAGAGCTGATGGGGGTGGGGGGAACCTTGCACAACTGGCATGAGAAGCACCTTTCCTCCTGCCGTCCCCACAGCAACAAGCAGCTCATGCACTGCTACAGCTGTGGCGGACCGCCGGTTGGTTTGGGACCCTGGTTCGGGTTGCGCCGGACCAGCTGGGTCGGTTCGGTCGGGCGCGACGTCAGCAGGTGCCAGCTCAGCGCAGAGGGGCGGCACGGCGTCTACTTCTAGTAGGCCCACGGCGGGCGGGCCTCTCTCAATGCCCTCGAAGCGGATTGGGGCGAGCGGGACCGATGAATGATCCACAATAGTTGCCCCCTTTTTGCCTTCTGCTTCTGCTGTTGTTGCTGCTGCTGTTGATGGTGCTGCTGGTTTTGTTGTAGCCATTTCAGCACTAGAAGGTAACCCCCTTGGCGGTTCTGTCACCGCTGCTCCTGATTCTGCTGCTGCTGTGGCGTTTCTGCCCTCGCCTGACCTTCCATCCTTCACCACCCCATCCTGCCCGTCCTGCCCTTCCTCACTCGTTCTCCACCCAACCAGCAGCTGCAGCCTCTCCGTCTCTTCCATCGCTGCCAGCTCATCCCTCCCTTCTCCCTCCTTCCCCCCCTCCTCTTCCTCCCCAGCAACGCCAGAGGCAGTAACAGCAGCAGAGGCAGTAACAGCAGCAGCAGCAGCAGCAGCAGCAGCAGAGGCAGCAGCAGCGCCATCAACAGAAGCACTAGCAGCAGCAGCAGAAGTAGCAGAGGCAGACGGAGTAAAAGGAAGTGGGCCAACCCAGAAGCTCTGAAGGCTCTGAAACTCACCCGCCAGCGCTGCTGCTGACAATGCCTCACCACCATCGTTCCCCATACCCCCACCTTCACCTTCCTTCCCTTCCCCCTGCATTCCACCCCCCTCCACCTCCTCATCCACTTCCTCTTCCTCTTCCTCTTCCTCTTCTTCTTCCTCTTCTTCTTCCTCTACCGCCTCTGTTTCTTCCCTTTCTTCCTCTTTTTCCTCCACCTCAACTACTTCCTCTTTATCCTTCTCGCCTATTTCACCGCTCCCACTCACCCGTGTGCCAGCACCCCCATCTCCCTCCTCTTCGCTCGTTTCCTCCCCTTCCCTCGTTTCCTCCCCTTCCCTCACTCTACTCTCTGCCTCCCGCTGCCCCTTTTCATCTCCAACAGCCCTGGCTGCATCAGCAGTACCAGCGCCATCAGCATCACCAGCAACAGCATCACCAGCAATGGCACCAGCACCACCACCGCCAATGGCACCAGCAGCACCGTTGGTGGTAGCTGCAGAGCTATCCGGAGCAGCTATATCACCAGCATCAGCAGAATCACCACCAGCAGCACCACCCACATCAGCAGCATGAGGCGCCACTGCCACAGACTTAACTTCTGCTGGCGTTTCAACTGCCGCTGAACCCACTGCCTCTGCTTCTGCTGCTGGCTCAAAAACAGCTGCAGAGCCTGCTGGTGCACCACTGGTGGAATTATATACTGCAGTAGCAGCTGGAGTGGTAACCGTGCCAGCATCAGACGCAGACGAAAAAGCAGACGCAGGCGAAAGAGCAGAAAGAGCAGAAGCGGTATGAGAAGTGGAAAGAGAAGAGGACCCCCCTTGACTTGTTAGCCCCTGAGCCTGGGTCAAGAGGGCTCGGCGCTGCGCCGCGGCAGCTGCTGCCACCTCTGCTGCAGCAAACGCCGCTCCTGGCCGGATTCTAGGCACCCCACCGCGCAGTCGACTCGCATGCCCATACCGACTCCCATATCCAACCCCATGCCCATGCCCATGCCCATGCCCATGCCCATGCCCATGCCCATGCCCATGCCCATGCCCATGCTCGTGCCTGTGCAATCTTCCTTCCACGCTCTCCCCTCCGTGCCCTCCAAAGGCTGATCCGCCATAAGCAGACCCACCAAAGGCGGATCCTCCCCCAGTGCTACCCGCGCCAGATTGGGCAGCACTGCCCCGGCCGCCCAGTACACTCACAGGGCACGAGTTCCCGCTCACAACAGACAAATCTCCGAAGCTGCTGCCCGTGGCTGCGCTTCCCGAGCTTCGGGGGCTGTCTAGGGATGCCGAGCCTACTGCATCCACCCAGCTTGCTCCTCTTGTGTCTTCTCCTGCCTCTTTTTGTGCCTCACCTCTTCCTCCTCCACCTGCTGCTACTGCCCTATCTCCTCCTCCCTCCGCTTGTGCTTCGCTTCTTCCTCCTCCCCTTCCTGTCATGTGTGCAAGTGGCGGCTGCTGCTGCTGCTGCTGCTGCTGCTGCTGTTGCTGAGTTTCTCTGCTAACAGCCACCGCTTCTTCCCCTTCGATTGTGTCACGAATCTCTCTCATCATGATCACACCTCCCATACTGTCACTCCCCTTCATGACAATCTCCTTACTGTCACTCCCCTTAATGACACTCCCTTTATTATCACTCCCCTTCCACTGCCCGAAAGACGGCTCCCGCACATCACACTGCATGCCCTCGCCCTCCTCCCCCTCTTCACCTGTTTCCGCCTCCCCTGGCTGCTTCTCTCTCCTGCCCCCATCGTCCAACAGCTCATCTTCACCATTAGGCGGTCTCAGTATGGTTTCAAACGAAACAAAAATTGAATTCCCTCCCTTCAAATCCGTGATTTCCGCGCCTACGTCTGGCTTCTGCGCGGCTTCAATCACCTTTCCCTGGTTTAACCTAATCCCGCCGTTTTCCCACTGCCCGAACGACATATCTCGACCGTCCAACGACTGAGGGCTTCCAGGGCTTCCTGATCCACCAGGGCCACGTGGCAACGAGCCATTGGACGCGGCCAAAGAGGGGCCTAGAAGAACTGTCGGCTGCTCTATTACAGAAGGGGCAGGCTCTAAACGAGGCACGGTCAGAGAAAGATTGCTATCCCCGTTAGAAGGCAGAACTGTTGCTGCAACTGTAGCATCATGAACAGAAACGCCCAACTCGGGTGTACTTTCCAAGTTTTCGTCACCAGCACCTGCCACGTCATCATCGTCATCCGACACGTCATTCAGGATCTCCTCCAGGCTGCGTCCGCCCCACAGGCCCTCCTCGAGATCGTCCACGTCATCCAGCTCGTCGTCGTCGCTCGCCGCCGCCAGCAGCGCGTCAATATCGATGTCGAATTCCTCTTCACGCTTCATCGTCGCCATGCTTCGGCCCTCGTCGTAAATCTCGCCGCCAGGCTCTAACTCCGCCTCTGTATTCTCCTTAATTCCCTTTCCCGTAGCGCGATTGCCTTCCTCGTCGTCCTATCCCGGACCGGCCATATCTTAGAAGCTAGTTCGCGGGTCGTGGAAGATCTCTACCTTCTACACCCCAACAATCTTTGCGTGCTGTCCTGCCCTAAATGACCATGTAAGGCCATGTCACGCCATGTACGCATGCACTACTACCATTGTGCTGTGATAGTAGTAAGGAGCCATCGCCAGGCTGGGTTGGCTCGAAATACATACTAGGGGGAAGGTTGTGGGTTGCCTTGGGAATGCCGAGCTGCATTTGCAGGAACAAAATGTATCACTTTAGTAGCTGCTCCGCTTGTTGATTTATGTTGGCTGTCAAGCACTATGGAGTGATTTTATTGTACCGTATCTTAATCACAGCCAACTGCTTTGCAGCCCACTCCACACCCCGAGAGATAGTCTACATAGATATTATAGGATTTACTGGAATGTTACTTTAGGCATTTCCAAAATTTTATAACGGCATCAGCCTCGTATAGGAGATGCAGTCGTGTAAAGTACCATAACACCCCGGATAAAAGACGCAAGGGTATTCTTGGCTATATTTTATAAGACCGGGGGTCTTATCATAAGGTCATAAATATTACTTGTGTTTTGGAAGCCATCCACGTGAATAGTATGTGTTTTGTTTTGTAGCATTCAAAAAAAATATGCGGGATGAACTCCACGACCGCCAAAGGCACGTCACCCAACAATCGCGCTGGGTGTCTTCTACCATTGGTCCCAAAACGTGGTTACCATATCACAAGTGGTGGGCAAAGGAAACATGGGGCCACTTGGCCTCGAACGAGGCGAAAGTACTTTGCCTTACTTTCACAAGAGAAAGTAAGATGACATAGAGATACATTTTTCGCTCTACCTTGAAGAACTTAAAGAAGCAATGTTATCTACCTTGATATGACCACGTGTGAAAGCTATCCAAGTGTGCTTGTCATATTGTTGTTGCATGGATAACTCCAGTTCGCTAACCAGCTTGGATAAAAGGGCATGTTCTCCTTGATAGGTCAGCGCACCCATACCCCCTTAGGACGACGCCTGTATATTCCAGTATCCACTTCCAAGAGCTGTTACACTTGATGCTTGTACCCTCGCTTTTTATTTAGTGTGACATTCCCATTTCGATATAGTATCGAGTGGGCCAGATATCACGCTTTCTCTCATCCTATCTTAGCCTCGTTCACCACCTACATCGCCATCACAGTGCTTCATAAGATGTCCACATGCCCGCGCTTAGCGCCACACGCTTGTCCGTCGCCAGGCCCACGACCTAACCGCCCGCCAGCTACGCACGCTGCCAACGCACCATACCAGCATGTGCGATCGCAACGCACGACAACAGCACGTACGTAGTATCTCGTGCGCCTACGGATTGCGCCAGGCTCCCAAGGAGTGGCATGACACGCTACATACTACTCTTGTTGATCTCAGTTTCTACCCATCTTCTGCTGACCTGTCTCTCTTCGTTTGCACGGGCACGACGTTGTCTCGATTTTATTCTTGCACACGTTGAAGACAGATTCTTGGCTCTGCAGACAAGGTTGTTTTGGCTTTGGTGAATGTTGATATGCTGACAGGACACACTTGTACTGACCCTGGTAAGCAGCATTGCAATTGGCCTGCATATCACCATAGACGGAGCATTGAGCACCATCACTCAAACTCGATCATACGCATGGTGCAGCAGATCCTTCAATTCTTCGGCCTTCAGTTCCGCTCCGCCCAGCCCACTCCTTTGGGTGTTGGCCACACACTCTTGATTTTTATTCATGATAAGTCGGTTGAGCTTGTTGGCCTATACCCGAATTAGGTGGGTTGCCTCATCTACCGTATCGTTTGCACTTGCTCAACTTCGCATATCCTCTCCACATCCTGCCAAACTTTGTTGCAAGTTGGAGATATTGACTCCAACATTGGACGGTTGCTAAGCGAGTAGCGTTGTATGTAGCGAGCATATTATGCATGAGGGTTGTGCTTGGTGGATGACAACCAGTCAAACTTACATGACACACCAATGGCTTTTGGCAGAGGACGCTCATATTTGCAGGTCTACCCGAGGCTACTGCTTCAGCCTTGGTGCAAAAGCTATCTCGTATAGGTTTACCCGCTCGTCATCTGCTTCGGCGATGGCGGCAAGGCCTCAGCCGGCAATCACCCTTGTCGAGGATGTGGGTGTGTGGCAATCCCTGCAGATGTCGTCTGGGTCAGGGTCGTGTAGAGCCAGCTCGCGCGGATGTGGGTGATGCGGCACCCATGGGCGTTCGTCAGGAGGCTTCTAGTCCGAGCTATGGATGTGCTCAAAGCGTAGGGGTACGAGGTTAATGAGCTCCTCCGAATCGCCACTGCAGTTGGTAATATCGAAGTCGAGTATGTAGGCTCCATTTTTGGAGTTCGCTCGTCCGATTTGCTTGCACGTGTTGTTCGGCGCGGTGTAGTGAAGTGGGATGTCGCGCGTCTTGGGGTAAGTGCTGAGGTCAACTCCGCAATCCATAAGTTGCACCGCCGAGAGGAGATTGAAGCGCAGATTTTGTACGATCAGCACATCGTTCGGCGTGATGTGCGTCCTGCTCCCTCGAGCCTTGAGCACCACGATTCCTTGCGAGCTTGCGCGTAGTTGCGTGTTGTTCGCCACGGTAACGTAAGTCACGTCGGTAGTGGGTTTGGGCATTGGAAATGTAATGCTCAGAGCCCACTATATGATGCCCACAGCAGCTATCCAGGTACTATGTATTGTAGCACCTATTGTCGTTACGTGCGAGCAGCGCCAGTCGCAGAGTAATGATGAGCGGTGTGTCAATTTTTAGGAATTGCTCGCGCGATGTCCAATCGAAAGGAGCCGCCCGCGAATCAGGTACATGCGGGTGGATTTCAAGCAGCAGGACAGGCATATTCCAGTCTTGTCGGTCGTTATCGCTGGAATTGTGGCGCGTGCTGAACGGATTGGTATTTGAGAACGCTCCAATTGGGTGAGATGCCGGCTCAAGTGACGGTGAGCGCACGCGCGATCCGCTTGTCATTGCCTTGTTCCCCATGACACTACGGACGGGGGCAGTCTGTGACGGCTAATGCTTCTGCTGGTTCTGAACCGTTGGGTTCAGGTTGCGCGATGGGGGTTGATACCCCTGTGCTGGACAAGTGTCGTTTCGTGCGTCTTGTCGGCCGGACCAGGTGCTCGGATTGGTCTGGCAAGGGCGAGACTAGAATTTGCATTGATGCCTGGTGCCCAAAGTTTCTGCGAACCTTGAAGTAAAGGCGCCGCGGCCGTCGCTCTTCAGTACTGTCGGCGTAGAAGACGAGACGTTCTCATTCTCGTCGCGGCGCTGGTAGATGCTGGTCCATATTCCGTTATTTGACGAGAAGGGCAGCACAAAGGGCGGCCTCCGAGATGACCCCCTGCTGTCGGAGAAGCACCTTGCAAGGCCGCCACCCTGGGCCGAGCCCTTGAGGCACGATGTTTACGAAGATTTATTCAGATTTGCTGCTCCCCAACTTTGCAATTTGATAGCGTAGGCTCCGACAGTGATAAATGTAGTTGTTGGCCTTCTCCCCTGGGGCCATTCTTGACTCCAGTAGCTGCTGGAGCAGGCGACTCGACAAAGGCGCATCTTTCGGTTGGTACACGCCATTCAGGTGGCGCCACACGTCGAGGGCTGGAGTAGACGATGACTTGTATGAGCGAATGCTCAACTACTCTGCCGGCGACATGTTGCGCAGAAGAACCCCGTACGCCATCGAGGACTCCTTGTAGTACCTCGTCCTGGCGTCGTCAGTATCTTCAGCGGGTTCTGAGTAGCTCCCGTCGAAATAGTGGAAATTCTGCGCGTTTTGCAGCAGCAGCTCCACCTCGAAGCTACACGTATAGAAGTCTCTGCCGTTAAAACACACACTTGTCTTTAATTTTGATATGCTTAAGAACCTTGATTGCGCAGAGAGAATTGCTTCTTCGCTGGGACGGGGAGTCTTGGGGGTTGAGCCATTTGTGTCGAGGGAGAACGCGTGCGTGGCGGTATTGTGGCCGTTCGAGGCCGGTTGAGAGCGTTGGGAAGAAGTTCCCATGTCGCCACTCCGCAATGTTTGGGGTCCTTGTTCCAAGCTGGTGGGTCGCTGAAGCAGTTGTGCAAGGATGGCGGTTTCAATCGTCGTCGTTTTCTTGTTCGTCGAATCTAGGTTGGGCTGTGCTTCAGCCGTCAGATTTGTCTGACCACCAGATCCTTTGGCCATTCTCACACGCGAGCGTATGCCGGATGCCACTTTCCGTTCGTAAAAAAATTCGGAGGTGGCAGTGCGAAGGATTCCCGAGTCGCTCTCATACCATGCTGCGATCAGAAATTGATCGTCCCTAACCAGGATCACCTCAGGAAGGTTCGCACATGTCTGGGTAGTGGTGGTGGGCCCTTGACCTCAATAGCAGAGTGAATGTAAAATGCTTGAGATGATTAAAATATGCAGATACAGGGGATATAAATACGAGTACAGGGGAATACCAAACGTCCTAGTCTAGTCGTGTACTTTAAGGGGTACATTCCCTTATTACAGTGAAACTCAACCGTGCGACCTCAGCCAGTTACGAAACTGTCGGGGCAGAATCCTCGCCACTATTGCTGCCTGATGCTGTCTTCTCGACGTTCCAGATCCTGTCGTAACCGTACGACCCTTCGCGTCACTTCCGCCTTCCCGTCTTTAGCCTCGGTACTGTGTATTTCGATTGCTACGGTTAGGAGTGAACAATAATGTTTCATGTACTATTCGTAACAACATGAAGCACCCAGCCCACCCCGATTAGTTATATCGTGATTATACCACATTTAATCCCAACAAAATAACATGAATCTTGTTGATTTTCTAATGCATCATAACAAACTTCTATTTGTTTCAAGCATATTGTATGCATTCTGATCAATCTTGCAATGCAT